GGTTTTTCTTTCTTCCCTCACTGCTGTGTCCTAAGAACTGATTCTCCCTGAAACTCTAGATCACATGTGTCAAAGTGAAGGCCCCGGGGCCAAATCTGGCCCAGCACAGCGCTCTTTAATGGCCCTCCAGACTCCATAGGGACACATAAATAGAACCTACAGGATAATAACCACACAACTGATAAATCAAAGCAGTTTATCTGTTTATAGCCAAATTACACCAATCCATCTAGTTTTTCACAATTCTGTGATTGTGAACATTCATGCAAAATGTATGTATAATGTATATTTGTGGATTTATTAAAAAATGTCCTACTTTTACTACACTGGTGCTTTAGCCTTACTTCATGCCAAGTTTTAGTCCACTATCAACATGGTAAAAAAAAAGAAAAAAAAAAGGTCACATTTATCATAAGCAATAATATCACAAAATTCTTTTAAGTTAATTCTAAATTAGCACCATAAAAAATGCAATTTTGATCACAAAATCACAAAAAGAATTAAGAAATGAGACTGAATAACGAGAAAAGTGCTTATTAGTGCTTATCTGATGCAGAAACAGATATTTATTAACATTTTAAGAGTTTATTAATTAGGTTTTAACAAACCATTCTGGCACAACCGACTAATGAAAATATTCATGATTTTGATATGACCCGGATTATAAATGAGTTTGGCAGCGCTGCCCTAGTTACTGTAGCTAGACCCCTCTTCTGCTGCAAGTTGCAAACTTCACATCGTGTGTGTGTGTGTGCTAACCTCTAGCCGTCGCCGTCTCGCCTGCAGGATGAGCCATTCTCTGCATCGCTGTGGATCCAACACAGAGGGGCATGCTGAGCTTGTGGCCCAGCACAGAGGTGGACATGTCCACAACAGACACGTCCCTCAGCACCCGGGGGACAAGGTACCACCTGGATGCACACACAGACTGTCAGGTGACCTGCTGTGTGTGTGAGCTGCTTTTAAATGTCCGCCTCACAAAATGTATACAAGAAGCAAAAAGACTGAGTTCAAAGGTCAAGTCATTTAGTTTTTTTCCAGAGATCCATTCAGGCAGGTTCTGCTTTACTTTACTCCTGGAAAAAACAGGATTCAGTACCACAAAAAAACAAAACAAAGAAGATCAAATATATTTAGCAAAATATTAATTCAACACTATGAACATTTCAGCTTTTTAAATCAAGTAAAATGTTTGAAATATCTGGTTTGATCAAATCTGCAAAACACCTAAGGAAAAAAAAAAGTCCTCGGCGGTACAGAGGAACCAACAAGAGAACAGTGAAACAAAAAACATATGGAACCTCTGTAATATATTATTTTATGCTCCTTCTTGTTCATGTACATATTTAATACAAGATGATCATAAAGTATAATTAATACCCAGAGCTTTGAGCTCCTAATCCATCTCTATGGAAGTCAGAATGCTCAGATAAACCTGACTGAACTACATCACTGTCTAATAATCTACTGCTTCACACAGAGACATTCAGTAGATTAATGTTTCCCCATGTCCATCCAGACCTGGGCAGAGTGGACTGACAGACAGCAGCTGCTGTCACTCTGTAGAAGCGGGTTGGACGGTACCTGTTGAAGGCGGCCACGTTGTCGGCCAGTGTGTTCTGGCCGTCGGCTCCTGAGCGGTAGTAGTCATACACAGCTTTAGGGAGAACCCTCCTGGCCTCCTCCTCGTAATCGGAGACACACACCCGGTGTCCGGACATGGCTGCTCCCGTCAGTCTGACATCTCGCCGCAGGCCCGGCTGGAAATAAGCGGAGCTCCGGTAATCATTAACCTGCCTCAGGGGTTCTGCTGGGTTCTAGATCCACGGTTTACACAAGGTCACCGTCATGGCTGCGGCGCTGGACCAGGGACTTCATATCCTGAGTTTGGATTGTGAAACTGAACTTTGAATCCATAGCTGTTGATTCAATTAACAGGTGGCTGCAGTTTCCATAATGAAATACTAAAGTGTGCTTATATTAATATTTGTCCACTAAACAACTTGGAGTAATGAGAGTAGGGGCGGACAATAAAACAAACAATAACTTATCGATAGACATGATCAGCATCAATAGATAATACAGCTGATAGAATATCATCACATTCCTAAAATAGAAAGTTTTTTTTTTTTTTTTGCCAAAGGTGACTTTTACCCACACAAAAAATACATCTTTTAGGCAATAATTTTTTTTTTTTTTTCAAAAAATGACTTGGGTTGTTATCTTAGGAAGGTGACGACTCAGAACCGCACAGCATTCTGGGAGATAGGCTTTAGCCACTCAACCTCTCATCCACTCGGTGGCATCGCTCTTTGGTTACCTAGCAACGACTTGTTGAGTAACTTGCACAGCAACAGTTTCAGGTTTCATCACCGTGCCTCATAACTGATAAGAAACAACGGTGTGAAGTGGAAACTGTGGATTAAGCAGGAAAGGTAAATGATTTCAGATATTTAAAACAAAATCAATAATCAATGATGTAGGGCTAATCTAGCCATACATGACAGGACCACAGTGAAGGACAGCCTACCGTTCTCAGTTCCACATTTATTTGGCATCCAACAGAATTCAATAAAAGATTTAAGAATAAACACGTTTCACCGTCACCACAAACATAATTTTTCAGAATAAAAATGTAAAACAGGAAGAGCTGAGATTCCTCAATTGCAACAGGCAGCTCAAAAAAAAAGGAGCAATGCAGTCTTACGGAAAGTTCCAAAGCACGGCACAGACTAAAGATCTAGAGCGAAGAAAAAACTAAGAGGTCCTTGATGAAGGGACTATAACTGCTTTTATTCTGGATCACCAAAAACTATTTGACATGACGGGACGTTTCAGTTTAATCCACACAGAACACTGGATGCGTCGGTGTCTCCACGGTTCCACCAATCACAGCACAGTGTGAGGACAGTCCCTCTCTCTTCGGCGGCCGACCTTTCACCCCTACCTGTGTCGTCTGCTGTCCAATCACCAATCGCCGTCACAATGTCGCTGAGGAAGAGGAGTAGAGAAGAAGAAGAAGCATGGCCATGGAAACGCCTCGCTGACCCCGGTGAGTCCTCCCCACAGAGTCGGCTGTGGGCGGCTCCCTCCTGCTGTCCCCCCCACCCTCAGACGGGCGTCAACAGGTGCAAAAGGATGCATCGATGTTCATGGGGAAAACTGGGTGTAGTGAGCTATGCAGGTGGAGGGTGGGTGTCTCCAAGAGGAGGGTTAGGAGGCCTTTCCCTTTCTCCCCCCCTACATGTCCCCCTCCCCCTCCCGGCAGAGGTGTTTGGCCCAACCCGACCCCTAATGAGGAAGGCGGGTGAGCGGGCTCACTAAGCGTTGCGTTAGCCTGAGCGCCGGTGGTTGCAGGGGAGGGGGTTTGTGGTTGCAGCGATGCCGCGAGGCCGCTGCCCCCAGTGTGGATGCCCAGGAGCTTAGGGGGGCGGACTAAGATGCCGCCGCCCATTTTCCTCCCACTCGGGTGGCCCGGTGCTGCTGTTCCGACACCCCAGTCCCGCAGGACTCTGGTGGATCTCCAAGCCTTCGCTGGACCCTAGACAGGAAGTAGCATGGTGCTCACACCCAGGCGGTCCAGCCCTCGTACAGCTGGGCCAGGTTGTCCATGTTGGTAGCCTCTTTGATGACAAAGTCCACCTGCAATGACAGAACCAGGCGGGTCAGGACGCACAAACGTGGAAATAGCCACATTTGTGCCATTATTGGTAGTTGGAGCCCTAATTATATTCATTGTGATTTTTACATTTTTAATTATTATTTTGGCACTACAGTACTTCAGTAGAGTAACTGTATTTCAGTCAGTGATGGTGTGTGTGTGTGTGTGTGTGTGTGTGTGTGTGTGTGTGTGTGTTACCTGCTCCGTGACGCTCATCCTCCTGTTGGGATCGATGTCTCTACCCTCCAGCTTGGCTTTCACTCTCTTCCACACACTGACTGCATACGAGTTCCTCTCTTGCACAGCTGCATGGAAGACAGAAGCTTGTTCAGAAGAAACATTTCACTGTCATGACCTGACGTATTGCCTAAAATTGGCCGCATCGACCACAGAGAGGGGGTCAGTACCTCGACCTGTCTTGGGGTCTCTTACGGCCCTCTTTGGACTGGGATTGAGGCCTTTGCTGTTCACCACCAGTGTGCTGGGCGGGGTGTCGGCGGGGGTTCCCAGGTTACGAGGCAGTGCTTTGCGAGCATTCTGGGACATGGAGTCTGGCTGTGTCTTCACTCCACTGCATCGAACAGCTGAAACCAAGCAGCACAGAGCACTGAGTACCCAGAGCCAGACAGTGGCAGCATCATGCAGCATCTGACAGTAAGGAAGTCTTCCAGGAGCCATTGGGTCCAAAATGGAGGTTAATAGAACCAGAACCTGGTCAAAGATCTCCTCTAGCTCCCAAAACATTCTGCACTAAAACCTGAGGTAGGTAAATTAGCATTTACACAGAACACTATCTAGGTTATTCAGTCTTAAAGGCCTTCCAAGAAAAAGAAACATAGAATATACATGGAATGGTTCTGCCAAGACAAAATGTCAGACCTTTGATTTATGTTTTTATTTACTTTTTAAAAATGGATTGAAAATATGTAAAGGCCTTAATTTTAGATGCAAAAATGTAAGACTTTTTAAAGATCCATGTGCTTTGGAGCTTTAAAATCTTAGAAGTTTATCAGGAAATAGTGGAACCAAAATAACCCCCAAAGAACTCACATTCAATGCCTGGTAAAAATTCTAATGGCCTCTAAACTTATGAATATAAGGCGGTATGGACAACATGATTATTAATCATATTGTCCAAGTAAAATTAATTTCTTGTATTTGTTTTGTCTTCCTACAAATCTGTTTTAAATATTGTTTTCTAAAAATTTTTTATGTGCATTTGTGTTATCATCATCAATCACTTTATGATTTAGTTTAACTTCATGAAGTTTAACCAGCAACCCTTTAACCATAAAACCTTGCTCACCTGCTGCAAAGCTGGTCTGAGCTGAAGAAACAGGACTGGAGCATTCAGCCTCTCTGTCCGTCACCAGGGGGGAGGCGAAGCCCACCAGGCCATTGTAGACGCTGCCATGACACACGCAGCTCAGTCACACATCTGTCCACTGGAAGCAAAACGCTGGTGTGTGTGTGTGTGTGCGTGTACCTCTGGCTCTGAGTGTGAAGCTCCTTCAGGGTGGCAGGGATCTCCTCCAGGAGGTCCAGCTGCTCCTGGCTGCGGTGCTGCCCGCTGGCCTGGACCACAGTGAACAGAACCAGCTGGATGTTGTCTTGCCAGGCTTTGTACTCCAGCAGGTAGTGTCGCACGCTGCCTTCGTACGCCACCTCTTCACCGTCTGCCAGTGCTGCTTCCTCATCCTGCATCACACAGCAGACAGGTGGAGTCAGAGCCTCCTTTAAATGTTTCATTGTTTATTTTATTGGGAATTTATGAGACAGAGCATCAAAAGTCAAGCAAAACAGAGGTGAAGACAGAATTTTGTAAACTTATGGGTGAACTTTAAGAACTATACTATATATATACATCGTAGACACAAAGAAAACTAGCTAGCTCTCAAGGATCGGCTAGCAGCGAGCTACCATGGCTCTGAATCATTTTGGGAGTCCTGGAATAATCTGCAGGTCCAATAAATATATTATCCTCATTTTCTCAACATCCTTCCTTGTACATCTGCAATTTTTTTTACTGCTGCAAAATATCAAAGTTTAAGGCAACAACTGATGTCAAAAGTCAAACACTATTTTCCACACAATGACCCAGAAGAGCCGGCAGTGTGTTGGTTGTACCTTGGCCATGGCTCTCAGCAGGTGCTTGACATCGGCCAGCTGCCGGTTGTGATTGGACAGAATGGTCTTAATGGAATCAACCAGCAGCTGCAGCGTCTCTCCACACGCCTCCAGCTGCTGCTCTCGTTCCTCCTGACTCCTGCGCTCCATGCTTAGCTCCTCCTCCAGCTGCCTCTGGGCACAGTTCAGCCAATCAGGACTTCCGATGGGCAGGTCTATCACGGGACCCTGTGGAAACGTGCAGAGATCTTAATAACAGACTGAGAAATTGGGTTTTGATTTTAATGTTGCAGTAGGAATTGGAAAAAGAAACCCTGAAGCTAAATTAAAGGATATTAAATGAGCCTTAATTTAGTCAAGAGGGAAAACCCACCAGTCTGTGCAGAAGCTGCAGCTCCAGTGGGGAAACGGTGCTGCTGAACTGGGAAGCGTATGAGCAGGTTTGCTGGCAGCGCTTTAGCAGCTCGAACAGCGCAGCGTCCATACTGAGCGCCTCTGGGGAACGGGTCCGCAGCCCTTCAAAGTTCAGGATGGTGGAGCACAAGAAGGTCACCTTAAAGACAGAAGTCATAAAGTTACCATTCTGATTCACATGTTGTGAACTAAGGTACTGTCGCAGGAGCTGAGGTCACAGCCGAGTCACACTGGTTGTCAAGGGAACAACTGACTAGCAGTGACTGCTGAACACGCCACACAAATCAGACTCTATACCAGAACCGGGCCATCCCTGTTCATCTTGGAGAAAGACTCCTCTCCTGAGAAAGCGTCTCCTCCCCAGCCTCTCCATGCTCAGTCCTCTGTGTCTGGACTGTGTTAGCTCATCTGGTCCACTCTGAGGACAGGAGCATTCTAGTCTAAAGTTGGGGATATTCAACATGTTGGGTCGTCTTAACCCAACATGTGAGGTATCCTCTCCAAGGACAAACGAGAACCATGTGGAATGTGACATGTAGCCAATAAGAAAGCAGACAAAACAAAACAACTCCCAAGGGGCACCAGAAAGCCTGCTGGATGATGGAGAAGTGTCCGTATCGTTTCTCTCTAACAAACTATCGGGATCGATTCCTCCCAGTCAGCCATGTTTGTTTACTCTGAACTCTGTGAGAGTTTCCATCTGACATCTGAATGTTAGTGAGTGGAAACGTTAGACTTGACAGAGGTGAACAAGGGAGTTACCTGGCTGGTGCGCTGGTTGTCTCTAGCCACTGTGGCTCGTCTGTCTCTGATTGTCATCTCAAAGTCCTGCAGGACGGGAGCCAAGGCTGGGTTAGCCCCACCAGCCCACTTCAATCGCTGTTCAATGCTGCCCTCCAGAGAGGCCAGTTTGTCCTGAAAACATGAGTCAGTGCACAGCACATTAGAATTATTATGTCATATTCACTGGGTCACACGTCACACATGGAGTGGTGTGGTAGTATGGAGGAACAGAAACACTCAGAGGATAATGGTAATATATTTGTTGGACAAGAGGAGGTATGACGTATTTATTTTGTTAGAAAGGTTTTTGTTCAGTTAGCTAGCCACGTATTATTGTTCATTATAAATGCAGCTTTAGTGTTTGATTCATGACTATGTCATATGTGAATGAACAGTCTATGCTGCCATGGGAATGACTTGACTTACTGACTCTAGAAACATTTTTCCAAGCTCTGGCAGGACGTTTTTATAGGTTCTCAAAGTTTGAACGTTTCATTGCTGTATAGAGAATTAGTTTTCCTTGTTTTATAGTTTTACATTTTATATAATTATCTGTTTAATTGACCTCAATTAAACAGATAATTATTGTTTTGATTGTAAAATTTGAGGCATTTTGTGGCCCATAAAGGGTTAGAAAACAGTTTTCATTGCAGTTTGATAAATATATTGTCAAAAAAATTGTGTTTCTACACTAAAATAAATTCCTAACAACAATCAACTGTTTTTATGTCTTTCAATCTGGTTTCCATGGTTACCACAGTACTAAAACCAGCCTCATCAAAGTGTTCAATGACATCCGTATCAATACAGACTGTGGAAGAACCATAGTGCTGGTTTTATTCAGCCTCAGTGCAGAATTTGACACTGGAGGTCAGACACAGTATTGGGTCTGGGCATAGACATACTGTTTTTAGATAGACTTTTCTGCATGAAACATCCTTTCATTGGTCTTATTTAGCCAAAAAACAACTTTGGATTTTAACAAACTATTCATACCTTCACTGTATCTGTAGCTGGAACTGTAGTTATTACATGTTTCTAATCAAGACGCTGTATGCCTATTGTTCTCTGTGAGACACTGGATGTAGCTCTGTTCTCTCCAGACACTGACCTGAATGGCAACAATGGCTCCTTCATCCTGACTCAGCTTGTACAGCTTCTTCTTCATGCTACTGAGGATCACAGGTCGAGGAGCAATACTGACACCCAGTGGCTGATTGTTGGGACCAAGAACGTCCTCATGCTGCCACTAAAGGAGGACACAGACACACAGAGAAACATTAGGGGAGGCCAGCACTATCGTTAATCATCTAATTTCAGGACTCAGTGTTGAGACAGGCTGGCAAAAATGAGCAGCAAGGATTATTTCAAGCAGCTGAGTGATGGTTAACAGAAGCTTTGAATCAGTGGATTGGTTCATGTGGCTGAGAAATGGCTGGATGTCAACAAACATGACAACAGAGAGAAACAACATCCAGACACACGGTGGATATGTAAGGATCTAGTACAAAGAAGATGGCTTTGAGAGGTTAAGGTTCTTTAAATTAAAAAAATTAAATATACACCGAATGGATCATTGGTCAAGTTTGACACAGGGGCCTTTAATTTCCCTGGTAGAACACCTAAGAATGCCTTTTGACTCTGAATGAGGTGTTGCTTTTTGGATAACTACTTATTACCTTTTTTGTTTGTGATTTTCTTTTTCTTTTCTGTCCCATGTATCACGTGATATTTTGAGGGTCTGCTCTCAAAACTTATTCAATAATTATTGAATAAGACTCAACTTAAAAAAAATGAACAGGAAGAAGACTCAGATGAAAGCAGCATAAGGTCCTTCCAGTAAAAAGACTCTATATTTCCAGTGTCAGTGAAGCCAAACGGGGCGACATGAGAACCAGAGCAGAGCAGCAGAATCAGAGTCAATCTGTACCTGAAACATTGCGATATGCAGCTGGCTCCGCTGCAGGCTGGCCTTTGCAGCGTCCAGGTTAATGTCCAGCCTCCTGAGCAGGTCCACCTTCTTCCAGGCCGTGTCGTAGGAGGAAGCCAGAACCGTAGACCTGTTGAGGAGCAGCTGGGAGACCCGGCCCGACGCCAGGCTCTGCTCCACAGCCTTCTTACACAGCTCATCCAGAGAAACCTGCACAAGCACCACACACACATAGTGTTACCCAATTATTCAGCTACTATGTGGCCATATATCAATGTGTAATAAGTATCAATTTATTCCAGTAACTCATGACTAATTTTAGAAATAAATGGCCACCAAAGACTCAACAGGAATGAACAGGCGTAGCTCAAACCGCTGCTACGTCACAGATAACCGAATATCATACCTTGATCTCTGCACCAAAGTCCTTGGCCTCCACCTGGGCCACCACATCCAGGCCCAGGGCAGACAGAGTACTGCAGAGGGCCAAACCAATGGCCTGGCTCGGCAGACCCATCAGCATCTGGCGAACAAACTCGGCCGTGAAGGCCTTGATGGGGCGGGTCATCTGCTCCTCGGTGAGCAGTGCTACACCCGGCCCAGTGCCACTGGGCCGGCGGTACAGAGGCTTCCCCAAACCAACGGGTCCATTTGTAGGGATCAGGTCTTCAGCTGGAGGGCAGGTACCTAAAAAAAACAAAAAAAGTCATAGATTCAAACAGCCAAGGGCATCAAACTTCCTTTATTATACCAGAGATGTAAAGTTGTTTGGACACATTGTCCAAACATGTTGGACGCTTGTTGTCGACGGTGCAGGGACGAGCGCTCACCGGACAGAGTCTGAGCGAAGGTGGAGCAGAGGAGGAAGAAGTCTCTGATGGTCTGCAGCCTCTTGAGGAAAAACACTTCCTCCATGAGCTGCCGCTGACTCAGGCTGTCAAAGAAGTTGAGCTGCGTTGCCCGGGCCTCCCTCAGGACATCCACCTTCCTCCAGGACGGCGGCACCTCCAAAGAGCTCAGCTGAGGACGAGGAGGAAAAAACAACCAAAAACGTTGGTTTCCATGAGAAAACATCAGCTTTATTTAATTGACTGAAAATGTGAAAGAAAAAATATCAAGGTGTTAAAGTATTAGTACAGGGGGCAGGTACTGTGACTTTACCTCATTCTTATTGCAACTGTTTTTAATACTGACTGATTCGATTTAATAAAGAAGCAGAGTTATAGTCTAGCTTAAGAATAACAAGAAAATACAAAACCACAGATTCCTCACTGTCGTGGAGCAAATATACATTTACTCACAGACTTTTAAAGAACTTTGCATGATTAAAATAAGCAAAAATATGCAGGCAGAGATTTGAAAATTATAATTCGAAGGATTACATTTTTAAAAAGAGGCAAGACGCTTTAGGATTGTATTTAGGATGTATTTTAACCAAACGTAGACTCAGAGTGGTGGATTTCATTCATGAACCATGTTCATGTGACCATCCTGAGAGGAAAAGCTGTCCGCTACCTTCTCCGTGAGTTGTCCAAAAGCGGCCTCCAGCTGGGTGAACATGCCATCGAAGGCAACCAGCAACATTTGACCTGCTGACATCTTGGGCGTCTCTTGGCCTTGTCTGTCCATGCTGTGAGGCTGGATCAGCTCAGAGTACTGTGCACGCAGCATTCTGAAAACCAACAAGAGTTTCACACACATTTCGCTTTGCTGCAAAAAACACTGAAGCTTTTCAATAATTTTGGTCTAGTTCCTAATATCTTAGTGCACTTGAAACAAGACTAAACTAACTCACAAGTAACATTCCAGCAAAACACAGGAGCTTGTTTAGAGTTAATAATTCCTTAATACTGATGGAAAAAGCACTAATTCCATTGAGATTATTTCACTTATAAGAAGAGAAAAGTGTCTATTATAAAGTGAAACAATCTGCAAATGCAACTAGTACTTGCACTGTGACAGTATTATGCATTTTCCAGGCACATAGTGCCATTTATAGCAAGGCTCAATAAAAACTCCTGCTCTTTCTGAAACTCCACTTTCAGGAAGACATCACAACATGGCTCTTCTATTAACCCTTTAGCAACATTTCTACCATCACTGCACTCAGAAGTAGCTCCTATATAGCACTCAGCAGATGCTCAGTTCCACCAGGTGTTTGCTAATTGCTGGCTAGTCTGAAGGAGTTGAGTGCTGGAAGGGAGACTGTGAGGCAGAAACGTGGAAACTGCAGCACTTAGAAGGAATTGCACCTCGAAGGCAAAGCTAGGTCCACCCGGGTGTTTTGCAGAGCTGAACGGTTACCGTGGAGATTAAAGTATTTCTCAAAGGTGGATGAAAGAATCAAATCACCACTCCGGGTATGTTTTTGATGAAGGAATATATGTATATGAAGTTAATTTAATTATTTTTTTCCCCCTAAAACTGTCCCGTTAAGGAATTAACTTCGAACAAGCTCAGCTGAAAAGTAACTTATATGTCAGTTTTGTCTTATTTCAAGTGTACTGAGATATTTGCGCTGGAACCTAAACAAAAATAACTGGTGAGATTTAGTGATTCTGCATTTCTCCTCCTTTAAAAGTTGAACAGAAATCAGAAATGCAGCAGGACAGATGAAACTGCAGTCACCTGGTGATATGCAGGAAGTGGCTGTGGCTGTCATGGTCCAGACCAGTGGTGGCCTGCAGACTCTCAGCCAATCCCTGCAGGCTGAGGCCGTCTGAGCTCTGCTCCACCAGCTGCTCCAGCTCGGCCAGCATGGCCTCCAGGGTGGGCTCTCCTTTCATCATGCAGCGCAGCGCCTCAGGGAAGATGATCTGCCTGAAGTTGGTGTTCAGTTCCTGCAGTTCACAGTGAGTCTCATGAACCTCAGAGTCTCTCCACCACAGCAGGTTTCACTTCATGCCAGAGTGAGGGTTTCCTACCTGGAGGCAGGTGTAAACGGCGTTGGCCAGGTAAACGGCCTGGGTGGTCAGCGACGGCATGGGGAGCTCCAGGTCGTGGGCCAGCAGGGGGCAGCGCTGCAGCAACGTAGCCAGACCACACACATTACCCAGCATGCTGCACAGCTCCTCCAGGAACCACGCTCCGTCCCGGGAGGTCAGGTCCACCAGCTGCTCTCCTGCGCTGGCTGCTGCTCCCTCCATCACCAGGTTACGCCTGCAACCAACCACACACAAAGCTTCTGTTAGTGCTGGATATAGAAATTATGTCTGAAACAGTATTATGACTTCTGTTCTAAATTGTTTTAATTTGCATTTTGTTTAGCATACTTGATGTGAATGGATTGGCTATTTGAATTGTGGGCTGATTGAGCTGATTCGCTGCTGTTCTAAAGGAATTGTTATGACACACGTGTGAATTTCACTGGAATTTCAAATTAGCCCAACACCATAATCTCTAGAGTCATACATCATGAATGGTCTTTGGAAATTGTTTTAAGATCACAGGAGTGATGGTGAGATTTCATTCCCCTCCTACCTGGAGGGGAATGAATACTGAATTACTTAACTTGCATTCATACTTAATTACTTAACTTTTGGCACAGCATTAATAAACTCATAATGATTGACGCACTGTTGACCTGTCCGCCTCTCGTCCGTTGACCGCTGGAAATAGGTACCACAGTAACATAGTGGTATCTGTTTCACTAATGCCAGATACTAAAGGCAGCTTGTTCAGAAATTTGACCTTGACTTTATCAAATAGTGATGTGTTGTCTGGAGGAAGGCTTGTGATACTGCAACAATACATGGCCTGCACTTTATCTCTGAAAAAACACTTACACTACAGTAGCAGTGAAAATGGAGAATTTTAGTGGCTTTGAATGTGTGACTTTTGCATATTGGTGAACATTCTGGTCACATTCTATTACAACAAAACAGCAAACCGGCCCATGCCTGGTTGTTCCCATTATTTCCTCTGCTGCACTGTTTAAAGCTAGCAGTGGGACATTTCAGAGGATTTTAGGACTCCCACCTGCAGAGTGCGCAGAGGGCAGAAGTGATGACTGCAGCCAAGCTCAGGGATCCCGGCTCTCCGTTCTCCCGCAGGAACACGCCGATGCAGTTCTCGATCTCCTGCAGCTGTTCCTCGCATGCTGCCACTGTGGTTCCCTCGGCCTTCAGCCGCTCCGCTTGGTGCATCATCCGCTCGTTGGTCTCAGCCACTTGGTGCTGCAGCATCAGCTCCACGTTGGACAGAAACTGGCAGGAGGCTGGGGGGGTTTGAGGGGCAAACAGGACTTCATACCTGATGAAGGACAGAGGAGAGCCACAGAAGTTCTTATAGAGATTGGGTGGATTTCATATTCTCATCAAACACCATGATTTTTCAGAAAATTTGACCAATCACCAATGTTTTCTTTATTTCTGACCAATCACTGTAACTTGGCTGAATTACAAAAATGCAAAAAAACATCCTGCAGTGCCTGAATAAAGCAACAAAGATTACAAATAAACACTTTCAACCGCGATTTTTTAATTCTTTACAGCCTCTAATTATTTCTCAGACAGAATAAAAGTATTTTCAACTTTAGTTTTGATAACAAAAGGTGCAGCATGGAGTGAGCCTTACTGCCTGTAGATGTGCTGACAGTGCTCCACTGTCATGTCCCTCAGCAGCTCCTCTAGCCAGGCCTTCCACTGGTGGACTCTGTGGAACAGCAGGGTGGCTCGTGGGTACAGCAGAGCGACCGTGGCATAGCTGTGCAGCTGTTCCAGGCAACTGCGCAGGGCAGCCCGACGCTGCTGCAGCAGGGAGCTGAGCTCGGCCTCCAGGCTCTCACACTGGCTGATCAGGGGGGCCTGGCCCGCGTTCTGCAGAAAGGCAGTGGCTGGAACGTAGCTGGGAGGACCTGCAGGTGTTGGACACCACAGATTTACTGCATAGCCAAAGTAAGAGCCACATTCTGATCACGTTCTATAATAGATATTACAGGAGATACTACCTCTGTTTAAAGGTATGGTGCGAATGAAGTTATTGTTAAAGTTAGGAATAGAATGGTAGTGGTCATAGAAATGTCTGGGTTAGGTTATTACTAAAAAGAATGCAAGTCAATGTAAAGTCCTCAGTTGGATAGAAGCAAAAGGGTGTGTGTGTGTGTGTGCGCGCGCGCATGTGTATTCATGTATATATTGAACATAGGAGAGCATTTTCACCATTTTCACCCATAGACTGAGGTCATTGTGGAAAGTGAGGACATTTTCCTGGCTTTCACCTTTTCTCAGTTCTATGTTAAGAGGAGGAGCTGGCCCTTAAATCTATTTAATCGATTATTAGAATTTTCAGTTTCTGAACATTTTATTTGTGGAAAATCTGGATTTTTTTTCTTCCCAATGTTCTGCTTGTGTCTGCGTAGTCGACAGTGACCTCAGCAGACCCAAAAACTATCACTATCTGTTTTACAATTTCCATTAATTTTGAGTTTGAATTCAAGTCAACTCACAGAAGGAATGACTGAAATCAGTCATTTGTAACTTTTAGAGGAAAAAATATTTTAAAAAGTGATTATAAAGTCAAAATTCTAATTTGGTATAAAAAAATTGGAGATTTTATTTTTAGGCCACAACTCCCAGCCCTATGTTCATCTATTAAATATAGACGTAAGCAATATTTTCTCTACTGTTTGTTTAATGATAAATATAAACCATGAGTAATAAACTAAACCAATATAAAAATGAAATCTCCTCCTTTGGTTCCTGCCTGCGGCTTACCCAGGTCGATGGGAGTGCTGATGTCCTGCAGCAGGCTGGCCAGCTGGGTGGCCTCCAGGCTGGAGAACGCTGCATGGTACTGAGAGATCCACTGCTCCAGGTCAGCCATCTTGGCCTGGATAGCCTCCTGCACTGTCCTCTGCTGGGATTGCAGCTGGGTGTGTTCAGAGTATCTGCACGCAACACACAGCTCTGTTATAGATTCCGCTCATTCTCACAACACACACAATCAATCAGCAGCACCATTTGCGTACACTGGTGTGACCTAAACAAAAACAAACCAAATCCCCACTGCAGAGTGAATGCAGTTACATCACCAGCACTCGTGGAGGGTGTGGATGTTGATAACTATTGAGTTATATTTGTGCTTCCAACCTGTATGCTCTGTGAGACTGACTGAAGTGTATATGTCTACGTGAACAAATAATTTGTGGTGCTTGAATTTAAATCTCACACGGTGTGTTCTGGCAAGCGTTCTACTCTGATTCTCCTTTTTCTCATGCCATAACTGTCTGCATTCACAATTTAACTTAGTCTTTGAAACCAATCACTTATAAACAGAAGAACACTTCTCATAAACAGAATAGTTTATGAGTGATTGGTTTTATGATGGTTTGTGATGGATCTCTCCTGCATCCATCACAAACACTCTTTAATTAAATGAGTTACAAGGTTTAATTTCCCTTAAGGATCAATGAAGTATTTCTGAATTGGATTTGAAAATGGACACAAGACCGACTGCAGCTGTTAGGGGGATAAAGTAAGCAGTCCAGAACTGCATAACACTAAAAGATTATGCCTCATCAAATAGACATTTCCATTTGTTGTTAAAATATTATTCAAATTGACAATGTACGATAAAGTCCTCAACTGGTTGCAGCTGGTTGCTGCTTCCACTTACAGTTGAACTGATGCATTAAATTGATCAAGAGGATCTATTTTTCTCAGAAGTTTAACTTGAACTGAACTTATAACCAATTACTTTCCACCCTCTATGTCAGAAAAATTTTTTTTTTTTTTTGGTAAATTTTTTTTTATATGTATAATTTTTTTTTGTGGAAAAAAAAAATTCCACAACAAAATATACTTTCTGCATTGTCCATACAGGTTTTATTAGTTTTGGTTTGCACAATGAGCCACTGACGATTTTGGTCGTAGTACCTGCCAGAAACTACTTTCACCACTGGTAGTGCTGAGATGGTTTCTACTGCATTAATGCATAGTAAGCTATCTTTGCTGTTTGAACTATTAAAATATGCAGTTGGAAACACTTTTAAAGAGAATCTGAAGTTTTCATGGATTTCATCTATCTTTGGTTAGCTGTGGTGAGTCCCAGCAGTCTGTTCACATGAGGACCTAATAATCCTGTTGTGTCTCAGACCTTTGCTCCAGGGTGAGGATCACATGGTCTGGGTGGTTCTCTGCCCCGTCCAGGAAGTCCATCTCCTCTTGCAGTTTGGCCTGCAGTTTTTCCCCTCGACACAGCAAGTCCTGCAGGACCAAGTACTCGTCCACAGCTTCCTCCACTTGAGGCAGAACAGCCAGCATTTCGTCTCGATTCTTGAACCAGTTCACCTGGAGACAGTTCACACAGGACTTTAAACACAGTAGTCTCTCATATTTTATACTCTGTCATGTGTTTGAAGATTAAAATCTTATTTCCAGAGATTGTTTGCCAGTTTGCTCACCTTGATCTCAGCCACCCTGGAGGAGAACAGAGAGCGAGTGATGTCTCTCTCCATCTCCCTCTTGCTCTTCTTGCTGTCGGCCTGCTGGCCGCCACCTCCGTACACCGCCCCGGCAAAGCCCACCTCCCCTCCGGCGGTCCAGTCCACCAGAGGATCATAGACAAAGGCTTCCAACAAGGTGAGGAGGGTCTCTCTGCCCCGACGCATTATCTGCACCACCTGAAATTACATGGGACCTCAGCGCTTCGTCAGGATTGAGTGAAGGGAGGTGGAGAAGTAACGGTGCTTTAACCTGTTCACAGGACAGCCTGAAGATGCCCTCTACCCCCGTCGCTCCCAGAGCGCTCTCAATGTTGTGGGTCATCCTGAATGGAACCTTCTCTGGTACCCGAAGGCTTTTCCCTGGTAACAGATAAAACAAACGATTCAATCAACTGGCCCCTGCTGGTACCAGGGTCTTCCACTTCCAGTAAAATGATGTTCAGATTAACTGAATCATTCCCCGATGTTAAGTCGCAGGGATGCACCGATCCGCCTTTTTCACTTCTCATAAGGATATCTGAGGTTCAGTGTCGGCCAATACAAAACCTTCCTTCAAATGACTCAAAGTACATTTACAAATTCTAAATATAATGTAAAATAAATAAGAAAGCATGACGTCACTCAGAGCACAAACCATAAAATTACATTCTGGATTGGGTGTCTAGAATTGTTTACAATAATGGGAGTGATGCAGATATTAACATTGGATCTGTGTGTCTCTAATCAGATCAAACTGACCTTTTTCAAAGCACACGTTGTAATCGATGTGCACCACCTCTCCAGTGGTCATGTCGATCAGCACGTTGTCCAGGTGGCGATCTCCGAGGCCGATGATGTATCCCACCATGGACATGACAGCAGTGGACCTGGCATATGACTGAAGACAAGAGAATAACCATCAACTCACTGCTGATTCATGGCTGCTGCCTGAAATGTGCATTTAAATCTGTTTTCCTTCCAGCGAGTTAATTTGTATAATGTATTTGAGGAAAAAGCAGGACAAATGAAAACATAAAAACATCATCACAACATATAGTCAACAACTGCAAAAACCAGTCACAAACATTACACTTTGCCGAATGCCATCATCAAGGACACAAACATATTGGTCAGTGTTTCATTTTTAAGCCAGAAAAAGAAATGTATTAAAAAGAATTCAGAAAACATTCCAAGCAATCAAATGATTCGGACGTCACTGTCTCAAGCTTGCCATATGAAAAAAACATTTTTTAAAGTGCAAAAATAGATGAGAATAAAACATTGCACATCAATTAAAAAAATTAAAAAACAAACTTTAGTTTGTTTTTTAAATTGAAAAACAAAAACTAAAAAACAAAGCAGAAAAATGCCAGCAGGGTACCTGAGTGACCCTCCACCACTCGCTGGGCGTGGTGCAGGAACACCACAGCTCCTTCGCCAGCAAGTTGGAGGGCGTAGCTTCCATCAGCTCCTTCAGCACATCCTTCATCACGCTGAGGGGCCAGTCTCGACGGCTCACGTCCAGACTCTGGCCCACGGCCTTCAGAGCCGGCCCGATGCGGCTGTAGTACAGCTCGCTGGGGCGGGGCACCGGGGGGATGGGCTGCGGCTGTGGGAACGTGTCCTGGGCCTTGGAGGACACAACGTTCATTTAGATCACAGGCCCTCTGATTTCAGTACAGAGTTTAATTCATCTCAAAAGGATGACTAGTTCAGGACGGGAGACCTGAAGACCAGCCTTTTATTTTTCCCGTTTTTTGGACATATGCATAGTTTTAGACTGTGGTAACAAACCTTCTGAGCCTGCAGCACAGCCTCCCTCTGCTGCCAGCGCTTATAAAGTCCAAAAAGCGGAGTGGCACCATCCACCCACTGGATCAGTCCGGACCGGGTTCCCAGGGGCGTGACGGAGTAGTGGCGAGCGTGAAAGCGAGGCTGCTCCTGCTGGTTGATCTTGGTGAACATGGTGTTGACGATGGACAGGAACTGCATGATGCGCTCATCCAGGTGTAAATCCTCCAGGCCTGAAGCCAATGAGAATCACTGGTGATTTCGCCCATTATTCAAAAATAGTCATATTTAGCTAGAAACATGTTTCTGGAGTTTATTAGTAACTAGAAAAATTTAGGTTAATTGCGAATGAGTGCTGACAAAACCAAACTGCTGCCAACATCCCTTTGTTTCAGAAGTGCATTTACTTGTGATATATTGACCCCAAATGACCTCTGACCTCCTACCTTTGAAGAGATATGGGTAGTTGCGGCCATCTGAGCCCAGGAAGAAGAGTTTCTTTGGCTTGGTCTTGGTGGGCAGGATGGTGATGGTGTTGCCCACGCTCTGAATGGTCACGGCGTCCGAGGCAGATGCCTCACCTGGCAGGGCCATTTCGGTGGTTGTCATGGAGACCAGGCGGGGGCTGATCTCATCCAGATGGAGCAGGTAGCTTGCTCGCTTCTGAGCACGCTGCTGCAGGCTCATCATTATCTGCCCAGACAGGTCAGCCGAGTTAAGGTAAGGCATGTCAAAGAAGTACTGAACACGTCACCATTTTTAGAAATCAGGATCATTTTTATATTTCTATTGATGTGGAATCATTAAGAAATTTCAATAGCTACTCTGTGTGTCATTCCAGTTTTTATAACTGGAATAAAAATCTGTGGCAGTTATTTGACCAGTCCTCTGAGTTGGCTTCTATTCTAATTTAACTTCTTGAAAGCTGCACATGCAAGATGAAAATGTGTGTGATGTCAAAAGGTAACTTTGCCCTTTATTGTTGTTGCAAAAAAGAAGTTGAGATATTCTCCTGGATTTGGTCTTAATTCTTTTTTTTTGCACTTTGACGTCTCCTTGGGACAGAATTTAATTTGTATTGATGAAGGTACTTGAAAATATTATATGCATTTTAAATGTTAACTAGGTTAAAATCACAGATAATCTCTAATGTCAGAAGCATGTATTATTCCTCTCAGTTGCTGTGCTTTGGCCTTTCACATTAAATCTGGGATGTGTGTAACAGACTCGGATTCTGTATACCTGAATACCTGGTGTGAATGAAAATTTTTGCACAGGGCCTTAAGACAGCAGTTGTTGTGAAGTGACTGAATTAAAATCCCCAAATAAATCAGGGACGTTTGTGTAACAAGGACAACAAAAAAAAAAAAAAAAAAAAAGAAAAAAAAGTGCTGACCTGTTTGAAGGGAAGCCAGCTGCTGGCCGGGTTGGCGGGGTTGGCTGGGTTTTTCAGGCGCTCCAGCGCAGACTTGATGGCGTCGCCGTAGGTGGTCTGGAACCAGGTTTCATGTGGTGTCTCTGCTGGAGCGGTGGTAATGCTGCACACGTGATCCAGAGCGAACACCACGGGCCGCATCAGAGCAGAGTGCTTCTCTCGCATGATGGCGATCTTTTCATCCCTGCAGAGCAGCAGGCTTGCTGTTACTTGTAAATTTACAAGGTAACCATGGTTTCATTCTCTTTAACAAGAACTGCTTTAATATTTTTCTTCCTGCCATTTTTTACAGAGAAGTTAGTATTCCTACCTGCGCAGCGTGTTGTTGTTCTGCACCCTCTTGACCTCGTCCTCCAGCTGCTGGATTCTCCTCAGGACGTGCATGTGTTGCTGCTGCAGCACGCCCAGCCACAGTTCATCCCACAGTAAGGTCACTCTGCGCAGCTCCCCCACCAGCTGCTGGACCTGCGCTCACACACAGTCACAGCCAAGTGTGAAATATGCACGGCTGACGCAGAGCCAGAGCACCAGACTCTTCTCAATGGTCAGGAAAGATGCAGACTCTGCATTTTTCTGTGAGGTTTCTAGGTGATTTTTCGTTGTTTTTTTTTGGTATTGAGAACTTCATCCCTGTGTTAGCAATCTGGATTCATGAACACAGGCAGATGTGTCTGAAAGCTCCAACTAGACACTGAAGCAAACCATCAGATTAGTAATAAATTATTCCATCGATTATTCTGATGACTAATCTGATAAAAAAATAAAATATGAAATTGGTCACTTTGATGATCTTAATTTAAAATTCTAACCCACTTCAACTTGTCAACTAAAATATGCTGTATCCTTGGCAACATGCCGATTCTTCTTACAGATTTTGGTACATTTGATTTGACTTCTTAAAATAGTACTTTTATTGTTTTTTTGTATTACTTTAAAACAAATTTAAGAACCATTTTTCAGCCTAAATTTAAGGCTTTGTAGAGCTGGATTTTTAAGAGCGTTTGTTCCTTCAGCAAATCAACAACTAAATATTCATGGCTAAAATATTAAGATCACGATTTGATTTGGCAAATAAAAATTATTCCACTTATTTTTATTATTAGACTGTTATTTAGAAACCGGAAGAAAGAAAAACAATTGGAAAATCAGATATTTTTCCAGAATCAGTTTTCTGTTTTTCGTAATTTTCCAGAAAAGTTAAACATAGACTTCTAATAACTGTATGGAGAATGTTGGCGTAGCATTTTTTAAAAACTAAATTATAGGATGAAGAAGGAGTGAGAGGACCGTCAGTCACTGTGGTTTTATTGCCTTTAAAATTCCATTAAATGGAATTACAAAAAAAAAAAAAATTGCCCAAAGGAAACAAGCTAAGTAAAAAAAAACCAAACAAACAAAAACTTGTTCTCCTATAAAGGAGGTTGTTTGGCTGTATCAAAATCTGTGTATTTTGGAAAACTGGAATGGAAACGGCTTTTTCGAGTCGTGTGATCAATTACTGTGGTACAAAACACGAAGGAGGGAACAGGAAGTGGTAAGAGTGTGATTGCGTCACATGCTTTTTAATGTTTTTAACTTATTCACCTGTGATTTTAATTGAGTTTCTTATTTAATGAGAAAACAGCAATTGAAAATTGTTTTGTGATATAAATGGGATTTCGACAAAGTTTTGCTCCTGTTTGCAATGGAAACGCAGCTGATCAGAGCTTGACTAGTGAAGATCCATGTTTTTTTGTTGTGTGACTTTTCCTCTCTACCAGCAGTGGATATTGTAAAAGTCGTAGCAGCTATGAATTTTGTTTCTACTAATTCTTGAGTATGCAACAATTTTAATACAAGAAATAGAAATAAAAAGATGCCGGAAATTTGTAGACAAAAGTACAGAGAACAACAATGCAGCATACTGGGTGCCCAGCTCTATTCCTGGAGCTTTTAGACACACCTGAATCATGTGTGTTCATTTTATTCAAGACAAATGAGAATGTTTTCAGTGTAAGCTTGGCTTCTCCTACCTGAAGCACCATGGTCGGGTTAGCCAGAGACAGCTTCTCTACTATCTTGCTGTAACAGTCTTGCATCATGGCTTGGTCTTGACTGGAACAGGTGGCCATCTCCTCCACGGCTCCTCCTTCATCAGCACTCTGCAGCTCCTCCTCTTCGTCCTCCTCCTCTCCGCCCAGGTCCTCTCCCTGCATGCTGCCCAGGAAGGCTGGCAGAGACGGCGGCATCTTGCTCCCTGTCCATGCAGCAATGAGGAGAGCCACACAAGTTTTACTTAAGGCTGCAAAAAATGATTAGTTGCTTTTTTTTAGTAATATTATTTTACTTTATTCTTAACAGGATGCGGATCAGGTAAAGTTACAATTGCCACTTGAGAAGTTCAGGGTAGAACACATTTAGAGACAAAGAGGGGTTTTTAATCTAAAATGCAAAATCTTGTACAATTTTGGCTTAATTAAGTAATTCTCTTTTATTATTATTTCTTATATATTACTTAATTTGCAGTAGAAATGGTCCTTCTGATCCTTGGTTTGCTATCATCATACAGCTGCTGCAGCAGCCAAGTTCCAACCACAGGGATAAGATTTGCTTCAGACAACATGTAGTCAGTAGAAATGTCCCTCTCTGCTGGATAAAAGTACCTGCACTCTGAGCCTCTCCTCCCAGAGACAGTGATCCTACAATGGCCGGGTAGAGGATCAGATGGGGCGAGTCCTGGGCCACCCGACACAGCAGGCTGCATATACTCTGTCGGATGTACGCCTCTGGATGGTTGAGACGTGAGAACAGTTGTGGGATGATGCCTGAGGGAGAGACGAGTCAGGAACAGAAGAAAGGTCAGAAGAAAGCTCCAGAATGTTGTTCTCGTAACGTCGGCTTCTCTGCCGACAAAAAACAGAAGTGAACATGTTTGGAACGTACGCCTCCAGGGCGAGGTGGGGGTGGAGGCCAAGCCCAGCTCCAGCCCCTCCCTCAGTTCGCCGGCGTGTTTCACCAAAAGCCGAAGGAGACGCAGCGTTGCCATGACGATAACGTCGTCGTTGCTCTGTTTGCCGCCGTGGCAGGACAGCAGGAGCTTCGGGTCGTCTTCATCAACGAGCACCTGCAAAAACAAAAACCAGCATGCACTGAGAGAAACCTGAACAGAACCGGAACCTGCACGGCGCTGCGGGCCGGGTTCTGCCCTCCTCACCTGTCCTGCATTCAGCTTCAAGAAGGTGAAATAAGCGTGGCAGGAGACGCGATACAGTCCAAAGATCCGGTCCACTACCCGCCTCCAGACTCGGATCAGGCCGTCTGTCACATTCTGGCCGGCGTCTCCGAGCCAGGGGCAAGAGGCGGTCAACTGGCGCCAGATCACATCCACCATGTCGTCCTCATCGTCCTCCTGCTGCAGGGCCATGTCCTCATCCTGCCACACAGAACAGCGTTAGGCCTGGGACCGTTCAGCCGATTTACCACAATTAATCAATTATTATCTAGTAAACTAGTGATTAATTAATTGCTAACTGGAGCATCGCAACTCAAAATAAAAATGGGTAATTTGCTGGAAAACAGCACATTGTAGCCAAAACTGAACAATAATAGACACATTTTGCATGTAAGATTTGTCTGTTTTGCCCAGAACTCCTCAAGTAGTTCAAATTATGGAAAAAAATATCTATTGATCACCTTTTGCTGTCTAATTATTAATCAAAAAATAATCATCAGATCAGCTGTACACTAAAGTTCAATTCAGCAAAAAGAGACGATATCGTCACAAGTTGATGTTAGAAGAATGTTTTAGGAACTATCTTTATTTTCTTACTTAAAAATCAATTAAAATATTTATTTCAATTTTTAATCCATTTCTAATATTGTATGGAAAACGGCTTCAGTGTCTAAATGGAAAATGTACAGAATTAAGTGCCAAGTTTTTGAAAATACAATTACTCATCAAAACAAGTAATTACAAAAAGATCATCAATAGAGCAATAGAGGAATTTTAGACCGTTGCTGAGGTAGATGTTCACATGTAAGCATCGGTCGATCACTGATCTGCCAAACTTTATCAGTGCAGCTCTACTTAAAATGCAGCTAAATGAGACGTTGACCCCAGTGGATTAGACTCGTTTTGCGTCGTCTCTTCTTTTAAACCTGCTCTACCTGTATGCCAGTCGGTCGACACATGGCCTGTCCCAGGATGCTGAAGATGGTTTCTTTATCTTCTTCGCTGGTGTTTGCAGGCAGCAGCTCCTCTATGTCCTTCTTCTCTCCTGGAAGGAGAGGCAGACCCTCCCCTTGGCTGAAGAGAAAACAGATTTACTTCACTGGAGGATTTTGATGACATCTGGCAAAATGTTTGATGTTTTTACGATGTAAAAAACCTTTGAACTGCCTTGTTGCTGAAATGTACTACACAAATAGAATTGACTAAAGAAATTACTTTATTTATGAAAATGAGTTAATATTATAGATTTATTATTTTGGTTTTTACTCCAGAAATTCCTCCCATGCTTTTCAGGGTACTAAAACCAGGTAAACTGTTGAAAAATCTGACACACACATCTTTATACTTCTATTGTTCTGAGGACATTGTATTGTCTTCCATTCATTTTTAATTCATTCATACAGCCTGACCCTGACATTTACTCTAAACCAAGTCATTACATGCCTAACATCAACCCTGAACTAAGTGCAATTCACAGCTTAGTCGTAAACCTGACCGTGAAACAACAACGGTCAGTGTGCAGGAGGGTTCACTAACCTGGCGTTATCCACCACCTTCCTGCCCCAGCGGTAGGCCCAACTGGCCAGAGCCGCCCAGGACTTGGCCATTTCTGGGGCCAGGCTGGTGGACAGCTGGTAGAGCTGGCCCAGAACAAAGTCTGGTTCCCCCACTCCCACGTTCACTGGAGAGATTCAAGAAATAAGAGACCACTAATACCAGCATAAAGCCAGACATCATGAGCTTTCTGGACATTTTTTGTTGTTGTTTTTTTACACATTAACAGAAAAAAACAACAATATTAGAATGGGATATTAACACTCATTGTGTATTAGTCATCCAGCTTTACCTGATGTCACTGGAGTGATGTGAGGAATGCTCTGATCTTCCAGAGGAAGCTCCAGCAGCTCGGCTATATTTCGGCTCAGAGGTGACATGTTGCCTAAAGCAGCCGAGTTCACAGCTCCTGACTTCTTTACCACCTGAAACAAATCGCGCCGTCATAAACGGATCACATTTAAAGGGGCAGTATTATGCTTTCACCAGGCACATAGTGCTATTTTAAAGCACAATCAAGTAACTATGTTACAATCAAGGTAACAAAATGCTATCTTTAGCATTTTCTGGTTAAAAAAATGCTATAGATCAAATAAGATTTTCTAACTGAACTCCCTAAAATTGGACCTCTATCTCTGTGACCCTTTAACGTTTTACCAGTGTTGCAATAAGTTGTTGCTCAGCAGTTCATTATGAACAGTTCCAGTCATTAAATGCTGCTGGCTAGTCTGAGTGGAGGTTTTACAGGGGAGGGCTGCTCTGAGAACAGAAAACTCGCAGACTTTGAAAATGCAGCTCTGAGGAGGAGCTGCGCCTTGAAGGCAGGGTTAGGTCCATCTAGGTGCTTTTGGAACCTGAATGGTTGTCATGGAGATTAAAGAATGTCTCAAACATAAAAGAAAGGATCAGATATAATTTTAATGAGGGAGTAACATTATAATGTGATGTAAAGCTCAAAAAAAGTTTAATTCACATAGCACTGCAGCACAATAGAACATTGTGCTATTTTAAAGGGGCAGTTGTAATGTTTGGTATTCATATAACAGTGTAAAAAAGAAGCTGCCAACACCTGTAAAGCTCAAACCATAATCATGATTCCTGCCTGTTTAAGCTGGGGTGTCATGTCCTTCCAGTCAGCAAGCAACCATTTGCAGAGAGTCAGCAGAGAGCGGCAGGCTGCACCCTCATTCTTCCCCAGCTGGCAGTAGGACAGAGCTGCCCCGCTCAGCATCTCCATGGCAGCCACTGACTGGCCTGCAGACAACGGAGACTTTCTTAAAGGAAACTGAACAGAGTTAAGACAACTGCAAATCTCAACTCTGCATCATTCTGGTTTGTCCACTCAGAAACTGTGGGCTCACAGTTTCTGTGGGTTGAAATCAAAGTAAGTAAAGTTTCAACCCCATGTTCTTTACTTAGTCACTTTTTTCTATGACAGTGTTCATTCTGTCTTCGGAAAGTAAACATTTATTTTGAAAAAGTGCCACATAACATCTATGTGGTCATCAATCTGTCACTCTTATGGTAATGTCTCTCACTGGTCAGACACAAAAAGTTCAATACACTTAATATCAGTCATCTTTACATTCTTACAAGGTTTTAAGTGGCTCTATAATCAGAAATACATCAATAATGAATAGAAAAGTAGTAATTTAGAGAAATCACTTGTTTGAATTAATATGATCAGTTGAAAACTTCTCCTTAATATAATCATGTAAAATTAAATAAGCCAAATTTGTCTGTCATCACCAATAAGACTTGTTAACTTGTTTGGTATTTGATATTTGCAAATTTTGTGAAAAATATTAAACAGTCTGCCCAATCATCTTAATGTTTTCTTTATTTCTTACTTGTCTGACCAATCACTGCAACGCATATACATTTTGACCCCCTTCTAATTTAACTTCCTGTTTGTATACGTTTTAATACATATATTTTTTTGTCCAGTTTTGGCTTAATTACTGCTACCGAGGGTGCGCTTCTTTCAGAAAATGGCCTTTCTTTGAGTGTGTATACTCCAGTTAACGAATAATCCATTTCTAAATTAGCTGCCGATTAATCAGATTCATCGTTCCTATCCTGATTTCATGTAGATCTGAAAGGAGGAACAAATCACAGGAGATGGAAATGAAGGTGGAGGAAAGTCTGTTCCATACCTGCAGTTCGCAGCACTTTGGCCTTTTCTATGTGAACCTCTGGTCCCCATTTCTCCCCCACAGTGCCGTCCAAAGAGAGCCGCTTAAACCCCTGACACAGATCTTCCTCCTGCTTCTCTTCCTGTGTCCCATCACTGCACTGGCCAAGGAGACGAGACGCTAGAGCTATGTTGCCTTTCTTGCGGGCAAATTTGGCAGCGGTTAGACAAAGTTCCAAAAGATGGCCATCTATTGAGGAGGAGTAACCTAGGCAACATGGAAGGTGGCAAAACAAGACATTCAGGATGATTTCAGGATATTTCCCTGATAAATTTAATAATTCTGTTTCATTTATTATTACCCTTCTGGAGCTTTTGGATAAGTTGTCTTTGGAAGGTGGAATATCTTAGTGCTTGGAGGAAAAGCTGCACATCTTGTTGTTTACAAGAGTTTAATGCTTCACTGCTAAGAGGAATCACACAGTCCTGCAAATCAAACCAAGAGTGAGCACAAGTCGTTTTAGCAACGAAGGTGTGTTTATGAAATTGCAGCTCGTTGTGGGATTTGCTGGTGCTCACGTCTTGGCCTGTGAGGGTATTCTCCAGGGCAGTGGTGCAGTGCAGCTGCAGGGTGGACAGGGTGGGCAGGGCGTCCGACAGAGTGAGGGTGGACAGGCGGAGGGGGCCCAGGCAGATCCTCCCTGTCTGCTTCAAACATCGCACCAACGTACTGCAACATCAAACAGGTTCATAACACCACACATTTCAATCACTTCAAGATTTGAGGTGCCTAAGTGCTGTCAATGAATTAGAAAATTTGATCAGATTAATCACACTCTGGTGCTCTGAATAATCACTGTGCCTAACCTTGTAAGCTTGAAGTAGAAACAAACTGTCGATACATCCGATATCAAAAACCATCACTGTATCAACATTTTTAAAAAATATTTTATTGTCTCAAACCAAACATGTCTGCAGATTTACGCAGGCTAACGATACAAAACAAAGCTAAAAAAAAAAAGCTCAACTTTTGTTGCTCTCTGCAGTCACGGAAAACTTTCACCTGTTGCTGTCCATCGCTCACTGTATGGCGTTCATAACGCTGGCAGAGGTTTAGAGGTCAAAATAGGCAGTTCCTTTAATCTGCATTATGTAAAATTTCTATGTTCAAATTTTCAGATTAATCGCATGTATTAAGGTTGACGATTATTAAAGTAGCTGGCAATTATTTCAGTAATCGACTCATGATGATTAATCCGATTAATCGTTCCAGCCCTAGTTTAAATCAAAGCTCAGTGGTTCTTGAGAGGGCAGATGTGCATGATTATACCGTTATCAACACATCACTTGAAAATGGTCTCAAAACAACATTTTACTGGACAGTATTTTGTCCAGTTATTGTGACAGGTCTATGCGTTCCTAATAAAATGCTCAGCTTTGTTTCAGAAGAGAGGTGTGGTTGCTCACTCTGGACTGGACGTGTTCCTCTGCTCCTGCTGCTGATTGACTTTCGCCATGGCACCGACAGCACTGCGCAGCAGTTGCACCTCGATGGCTCTCTGCAGCTCAGTGGGATCGGGACTCATGGAGGGCAGAAGCCTCTTCAAATCTGAGCACATGTATGCATCACATCACCTCATTAGGAAATGCTTCACCGTCCACATACACAGTTCAAGGTTCAGTCGCTCTCTACACTTACCAAGCTTGTCCTTGTTGCTGCCAAGAGAGCTGTAGTCCTCTCCGGGCAGCAGCTCCAGCTGCGCCCGGCACTCGGCCAGGTCTCCCTCCTCGAAGCGGGACAGAGCCTGGATGTAGTTGAAATCTGTCCTCAGGTTGATGCTGACCGGGTTGGTGGAGTTCTGCTTGAGGGCGCTGGCTGTGGCCTGCCACTCTCTGACCGAGGCCCAGTCACAGAGTGACACATAGCACTGGCAGGCCTTGTTGGCCAGGAAGTTGACTACCTCAGGTGAACACTCACTGGCCTTCAGCAGCACCGTCTTCCTGTTGTCACCTGTTCAGAGGGACAGCAACAGTTCCACATAGAGAAGGATTCTTAGGTTTCCAATTACACTGACTGAACAATTGAAAGTTGTGTTGTTTTTCCATGTTTGAAGGTGTTGGTATGTTTAAGTGTGCTGTACTTTGTACTGGTGCAAATCAAATACATCTGTATATATTTATGTCAGTTTTCAAACAGAAACATTTTAAGTCGATTCAACACAGATTTTTGGTATCGTATCGGACAACACTAAACCTCAGACATCGGAATCAGAAGTGAAAAAAGTGACTTGTAAATCCATAATGAAATCTGGGATTGTATTTTTTTGCCATACATAAAGTATGGTGACTTACCATTGCTGGTGTGTTTGGGGCTAGACGTGCTGCTGGACAGCTTGAGTAGGCAACTGTCAGAGCTTTTGATACTGCAGTCCATTCCAGTCACAGCAGAGAGTTGATCCTGATACTCTAAAGCTGCTTTCTCAAACCTAAACAAACACACATTTGATAATGGGCAACAAGGGAATAAAAGGCAATGCGACACATGAGCAAAATATCTGAGGTCCAAGGTTCGGTGCTCACCGTCCCTCAGCCTGTAGGGCAACCGATGACAGCCAGCCCAGGTTCTTCCCAGAGGTCAGGAGGCTCCAGGCCGCCAGGCCCTGGATGGCCTCAGGGCAACGCAACTCACACAGAGCTTCCACTAGCAGTGCAAGGGGAACTTCCAGCTCTGAAGCCTATTGAGCAGACAGCATACTCATCTAACCAAGAAACCATAACCTAATAAAACCTGGACTCCTATCCTAAAAAGATAGGAGTCGGTGGAAACCTGGGAGAGTACTGACCTGGGTACCACTGTTCTTAAACTCTGCGAGCAAGTCAAAGCCATGGCGGACAGTCACTGCAGGCTGGCCAGACAGAAGGCCGACTCTCATCAAGGCCAGGCGGATTCTCGTCAGCCAGTCCTGGCAGGTCTGACGGTTTGTGTAGAAGAAAGTCTTAATGGCCTGAAATAGACAAGAATGACACAACACCTCATTAAAATCACAGCCAGGGATTTGTGGTGTTCCTACACGTGACAGTCTGCTGGACTCAGTCCGATTCTTTCTGTCTGCACTGAGTCAAACCAAATCCGTCGAGCAACCTCTTCCCCTCCTCACCAGTGGGGGCGCTGAAATAACCACTGAAGGAAACAACACAAAAACCTGCAAAGAAGACACTGAACACAACTTCTGTCTTACCCAATGTAAACAATGGAGTGGTGTCAGACTTTAGAGGTTGTAGGAATTCCGTTTTGTCTTTGGCAAAAGACCATGAGTCATTTCTTCCTTCAGCGTTAGACTAGTGTTTGTTTTGGTTTTATTTACCCAGAATCAATTCACAAATGCATTGGAACCGCACCAGAGTTCACTTCTACTGAATCTAGACCAAAGTTCGCTTTTTTCGTCTGCATCACATTCACATCTAAACAAACTGGACTTTCTAGGTAAACGGACTGGCATTGGATTAAAGTGGACTGAGCAGAGATGGTGTGAATACATCCTTAAATCTTTTGATATAACAGCTTATAATGGCATTGTTCAAGCAACAGTGAGGTCAGGGGTCATTTCTGCCACTTCTACACACCTTTGGTGGAGCAGTAAGAGCGTTAGCACAGCCTTCGTAGGCGTTGTACATGAGCTTCTCCAGGTTCTCCAGGTACTGCAGCAGCAGCGTAAGGCGCAGTTGGTTTGAGTGGTGGCCGTCTCCGTCACTTCCAGGTCCGGCCCAGGCGCCAAGGTCCTGCTCCGGGTTCAGACTGTGTGCGGCCAGGCTTCGGATCATCCCTGAAATGCAACCGCAAAAACAGAAACTCAGCAGCTTACAGTGAAAATCCAAACTTTATTTAAAGGGGCAGTATCATGCGTTTTCCAGGCACATAATGCCCTTTTATAGCACAATCAAAGTAGCCGTGTTACGTTCAATTGTTATAAAAATGCTTTCAATGTTTTCAAATGTAACTTAAAATAAAGTTGACTTTGTAATTTTATGCTTTGAAATTGGGTCCTCCATTATTTTCATTTACCCTCGATGGTCTGGAAGGTGTCCTGAGCTCGGCCCAGAGGCGTGCGGAGCTTCGACAACACGGTGAACTGCGCCGCCTCCCAGACGGCCCACTGCCACAGCACCACCTCGGTTTTCAGCAGCGCCCGTGGCACCATGTCCGGCCGGCTGCTGTCCACACTCCCACGGCGTTCCCGCTTGTCCAGCCGTTGGCAGCTGTAGTACAGCCGCTCCAACCACGGCTCCTTGCTGCAGAGAAAGAAACAGGAAAGCTGAAATGTGGCTCACATTTAACATCAAGCCTTTTACATCATTTATAAAATAACATTGTTAAAAAATATTCAATATGTTTTGTCACTCATTTCAGAAAGTGAAACTAATTAAATGAATTCATTCTACATCCACTGAGATATTTCAAGCTTTCATTTTTTTATGTGATTTTGATGATTATGGCTTTAAGAGCACAAAAACCCAAAATTTAGTGTCTGATTTTTTTTTTAACTGTCACTTAAATGTTGGAATCTCATTGCATCTCACCCAACAAGCTAATTAAATCCAATCTAAGGCAGCAACTAACAAATTATTTTTGTAATCAATTATTTTCGTAAGCAACCAGATAAAAATAAATAAATAAAAATGATATTCTGTAGATTTATTTAACCACATCAGATTTTTTTACACAAAATAAGAAATAGATTAAGAAGATGCAAATAAATAATTACAATTCTTTTTAATAAGAAAATAAACATGTTATTGCAATAGCAACATTCTTTCAGTACATTTTTTACTGAAAGAATCTTAAATTCAAAATGTATTTTTTTGATTTCTTTTGTTGTTTTTTTTCACAGTTATAGTTTTGGCTTAATTACTGCTCAGATTCTTTCAGCAAATGGCATTCTGCATTCTCCAGTTGATTAATTGATTACTAAATTAGTTGACAATTATTTCAATAATAAATTTATCACAATAAATCTGGTCAATACTTTCAGTCCTGCTCCAAACACTTGCACTTCCTGATCTCCAGGGTCAGAAGAACAGACAAATGGGGATGACTGCTGATTGGTCAGATGTCTAGAACAGACATTGGCAGTCTCCACAAAGACTGTCATTTTCTTAAATGGTGACTAAAAGTCATTCAATGATGCCTAAAAGTCATCATTAAAGAAGCAGATTATTCACAAAGCTCAGTGTGAAAGGAAAATGCAACAGAGACAATCACAGGCTAGAGCGGAATTCAAAGAAAAACCCATTTGAGAATCTTCACAAGAAGTGGACTGAGGTTGGAGTTTATATCAACGGCTCAGACATTCTATTATAGTTGCTAATACATTTTTTTTTTTTTTTATTTTCCTAACGGAGGAAGAGGTGTGTGTACAGTAACCAACAGAATTAGAAGTTGTCAGACTGTACAATGATGCAATAAGACCAAATGTGATTTGAGTGTCTGGTTTACATGGAAAATCTGTGTTGTTGTGCATCCAGGGCAGTTTGAGAAGTCTATTGTGTGTTTGAAGTGTTAAGAGCGTTCAAAAGAATAGTTAGAGAGCTGAAATGTGGCAGTGAGCCGTACCCTCCACGATGAAGGACTCCATACAAGATGAAGCTGATTAAGTCACTGAAGTCCTGGGGGTGGAAAGTGCTGCTTGGTGCCCGGCTCATGTGGTGGCGAATAGCCAGAGAAATCTCTCTGACCTCAGATTGGCTATGGTTGCTGCAAACAAAACAAAAACCATCTGACTCATGTCACCTCACATCAACAGATTCAGCTCAGATGAACATGAGGAGGTCCTACCTCAGAGCCACGTCCAGGGGAATGGTTCGGAGAAGTTTGGCAAAGGCCTGGCGTACTCTTACTGCCGAGTGCACCAGCTGAACTCTGCACACGTCCATGCACCTGGCAGATCAAACACACAGAATAGAGACTGGCCATGAGAGCCTGCGCTAACGTCTGCAGCACAGAGCTAAATCCAGGCGTCCAGGCCTGCAGAGTGAAGCTCACCTCTGCAGTAGCTCAGTAGACAGGCATGGAGAGAGGACCTGTAAGCTATGGGATGTTTGAAGGCAGATACTGTGATCTTCATGTAGAGCTGAGCAGAAAATGGAATAGATAATAACATGAGTCAAACGTGTGTCTAGGGACAGCATTGAAAGAGGAAGCGAGGATGTCTGGCCTCACCATTATCCAGCAGGCCTCTGCAGAACCTGCTGAATGACGGCAGGGAGAAGAGTGGGCTGTAGGTGTCTGACTTCACCATGAGCAGAGACACTTCCTGGGCCCAGGTCAACAGGAGCTTCCTGCAGCAACAAACAGGCAGCGCATGGAAATCTACTCTGCTTTAACAGCCATTTCTCATCTCTACTGGGCCTATTAACATGCACTATCAGACAATAAGGAAGACTAAAAATAAATAATTACTTCCACCACAGATTTATTTATTACTGTTCCTAAAAATTCAACAAAAGAAGGGAAGGGCTTTATTCCATAACTGAGCAATAAATAGATGTTTTTGTAATACACATTTGTTACATATAACGGAAGGGATTTTATATAAATACACACACACACACACACACACACACACACACACACACACACACACACACACACGCACGCACACACACACACACACACACACACTCACACACACACACAAACCCTTCAGAACAGTTTTCTATATGTGTATGTCTGATAGTTTTATTAAATTCAAATTTAAAAATTTTAGTTGATGCCAAAGGGAAGTTAAATATTAAATTTTGCTGGTATTTGTTTCAAAAATACAGATTGCAACATCTGAACCCATTACTTGATTTTTTTCTTTTGCTAGTCATCTCCTTCATGTCCCCCACAGTGTGTGCGTCCCAAACCTGGCATCTGGGTAAAGGTGCTCCTTTGACAGCAGGTTGCCGAGGAGACTGAGGAGTGTGCCGAAGTGTTTCTTTGTGGCGGTGGTCACCGTGCTGATGACGGCTCCGTCGAACAGGGAGGGAGACGATGACGACAAGCTGGATGAGATAAAATGATCGTGTCTGCAAAGGAAAAACAAAAGGTGACCACAGGATAGTGGAAATCTGGAATTACATTTTCAAACAACAGAGTGGAGGTATTGTCTTCCATGTGTTTGTAATAAACAGTCTTGAATAACAACTGCTTATGAATATTCATCTTCTGATCCATTTTATATTTTTTTGAAAAAGAAATCCGGTTTATATGAGTACAGGTTGCTTCATATGTTAGAAGTACACTGTTGCTATATTGACAGTTTGACACCGCCCCCTGCTGTTGGCCCAGGGAACAACAGCTGACTTCAACTTCACCGACCACCTGATATCAAGTATGTTACTACAGACAAAAAAAAAAAGTAAGACTAATAAAGAGAACCTCAGGACTAGGCCCAGGAGGTTTACCTCAAAATTTGTTCTACCCACTTCTGACTAAGGAGGGCTGAATAGAAATAACTGGCAATATTTTCAACTGCTTAATGTTTGTAAAAATCTTTGAACACTACACGTTTCCTTCTACTTTGCCTCGTCGATCTATGTTTGAAGGTATTGTGATAACAATAAGCATGACAATGAGAGCAGTTTATGCAGTCACCATGGATGTTACTGTATGGTACAGAAACCATAGTGCTACTGTACAAACAAAAATACTGCTCTTGAAAACATTTGTAATACTCTTATTTAGGACACAAATTCATGTAAAGCAGTGTGATTTTTATCACTAAGCTTCTCAGACAGGATTTAATCATATTTATTGACACTTTTTGAACAAACAGCAGAGAAAATATAAAAAAATAACAATCCTGACTGAACGGACAGATTTTTTTATTTTTAAAACATCAGTAATTGAAATTTATTTTGACAAAGGCGAATCAAAATTCTTATGACGACATATGATAAACAATACGATATAGGCCCATCCCCAGCTCAACATCATTTAGCTTTAAGAAGATCTTAACCCTAACCCTTAAATGCTGATAGCTAAATACTTAATCATATTTTAGCAGTTTCTTAAGTTTTATCAGTACAGTCTGGGACAACCAGACCTCGTGAACATTCATGATCTGGATATGGCTCAAAACACGAGTTTATTTTGACTCTGTCGGGGTTCAATAATCGGACACTTTGGTTTGACGATATTAGTTTGATCAAAAAGCCAAATTGTACAGTAAAATTCAAAATTCTTTATGTCAAATTCCACAATTTATACCTCATTTTCCACATGGGATTGATGCAGTTTGTTGCGGATCAAGCCTGGACCAATAAAATTCCAATAAGGGATTCTGTGTCTTTACCTGGTGCAGTGTGAGTACAGGGAGTAGAGCACAGCGTACTGAATGGCAGGGTAGAACACAGCCAGCTCAGAGTGAACCACAGTCAGGTTTTGACTCAGCAGAGTGAAGACTGTTGGACTCAATGCCCACATCTAGAGAGACACACAGACAGAACAGGCATCAGCTTCAGTTCATGCCACCGTAAACATCTGCAATAATTCATAGAGCAAGCATCTGCCCTAACACTGTAAAAACACTAAATCTTACCAAGTATTCTTGGTCTAGATTCTAGGGCAAATGTCTCAGTTTAGTCTTATTTCAAGTGTTTAACTTACAAGTTATGTTGCATCAAAGATATAGTAGGTTGTTTTAAGTCAGTAAGTCCTTTTGATTGATTAAAAAAATAAAGCAGTAGTTCCATTGGTAGATTATTTCATTTATGACATGGAAAAATGCAATTTTATAAGTGAAATAATCTGCCAATTGAACTAGTACTTTTTCATCAATATTAAAAAAATTATTGACGTAAAGCTAGAGCCTATATCTTGCTGAAAAGTTACTTGTAAGTTATTTTTTGTCTTGAGCAATAACAGGGCGTACCCCTATGAGGGAATTCTTGGTGTTTCCAATAGTGGTGAGGGTGCTGAGGTTGAAGATCAGGGTGAACTGAGCTTTGTCCAGAGGCATGCTGAGAGAGGTGAAAGCAGGGTGCTGGATGGCTGAGCATGTGCTGCCCGGCGCCGTGTTCCTCTCGGGGGGAACCAGGCTCTCCATCAGGCTACACAGAGCACACGCCATCTCACCCAGCACCAGCTTATAGGCTGCCTCCAGGGTGGGGATGTTCTTGAGGCTCAGCAGAGCCTGGTAGACACTGTGAACAGCAGCCATCACCTGTGGAAGACACACACACTCATACATGCACTGATCCACTTCTTTTACTTCTGATACCGTTAGCTGAGGTTTATATCAAGTTGACAACATTGGTCCAACGTAAAATAAACTGCAACTAAGGTTCTTTCAAATGGTGCAGAAAGTGAAATTAGGAATTCTAAATTTAATGTAAAATGAATAATAAAGCATGGCATCACACAGAGCATAGAATTAGTTTGAATAGATCTGCCTTTAAGAATTGTCACTGATACTCGATCTAGAATTTTTCTCACTATCTAGAGTTTGACTAGTCATTTCCTTCCATGTAGCACCAACCCAGCTGAACAAATCCTCAGTTGCACCGTGTGAGAAGATTCAGCACCTAATTGGTGGAGGGAAAGCAAGTGTCCAATGGAAAGGGTTATGAAGTCTTTTCTCACATGGTTTTGAGACTAAAACCTTGGCCATTTATGGCTAACATATTAACCAGATCAGGCACATTAACTGATGAACACCTTGTTACTAGAGAAATTAGCAGGTTATTACAATGGGTTCTTTTTACATCCATCCAGCCCTGAAATGAGGCAGTAAGAAGCTTTAAAATGAATCAGCTTTTTCTATACAACCACATGTACAACCACTGGGTGATAAATCAATTTTCCAAACAGACAATTGTCAACAAAGATGGAGGAATACTAGGAAATCCAATAGTGTTTTTTAGGAGATGCGGGACAGGAGAAAGGTTCATAATCACAAACGACCTGGGCTTTACAACAAGTGTTTAACCACCCGCACACTTTGCTCTGTCTAACAATGTAAACATGTTTTCTTGTTGTATGCAATAGGTCATAGATTAATATTTAGCCTAGTAATCACCTAGAAGCGCATAAGAAAATCAAATTAATGCAGAGCAGAAGTCCTCTTTGGTTGTATATTCAAGCAGATCACAGTTGTTTGAAAGAGGCAGTATTATAATTGTTTTATGATTTAAATTTTTTCTCCCATTTTTTTCTATTAGTCATATCACAGTCCAGACTCTGACTTCAAGCACTCACTTTTTAAAGCGGAGTAATGAAAGTCATTTCTGCCATGTTTTAATAAAACGTATTTTGCATTTTTCTGTGATGTCTAAACATTGCTGGCAGTTTAGCAGACGTAGCTCAAATGTTTTCATACCTCCTTCTCTGGATGGAAACGGAGATTCAGAAGATGGGAGTCCGGAGCCAGGAGCTTCTCAACAAACGACACAGGAAGTTTGGTGTTCACCTGATCCACAATCTGAGAAACATTCACAACTTCAGGTACAACTGCGGGCAGGCGATAATAAAACTGAGCAGAAATTAATCAATTAATTTTTTATTAATTTTTGGATTAACTGATTAGTAACTGGACAGCAAAAGTTGCTTATTTTAAGAATGCTTTATGAAATATGAACCAGGTGAAGCTAAAACTGCCACCTGAAGAGTTCTGGGGAGAATATATTTATATCCACATAGATTCTTTATGCTCCAGTTAATCGTATATCAATTACTAAATGAGAAGACATTTATTTCAACATTCATCACAATTAATTTATTCAGTAATTAAAAGCCAAAATGATAGGAACTGTGTAAGTGAGAATACCAGAGTGAGCAGACTGAGGACAGCCAGGCTGTAGTCGGAGCCACAGGCCAGGCAGCAGTCCAGCTGGTCCAGGCCGTAAGCGAGGACCGCCTCCATGAGCTGACCAGTGGGCTCCACACTGGCCAGCAACACACCCACACACTCATTCCCTGCTGTGAGAACGGCCTCGGAGAACTGGACCTGCTTGGCTGCAGTCACACACGCCAGAACTCGGTTTAAAACCTTTAAAGGCAAACGGCAGAGGAGGTCACTTTATTTTAACGTCACTACCGACAGGAAATGTCAAATCATGTTTGAAAACTGGGTTGGGTTTCATTAAAAGTGACTTCAAATCTATGCATCATTTTTCTTTGCACTATTAACTGTAGGCCAGACAAATAAAATCCAGACAAAACATAACACAGTTGTAGTTTAGGACTAAAATAAATGGAAACTTTCCCTGTGAAGTGCTCTTACATCATTGACGTAGATTTCAGTGATGGGGGGTCCTCTAACAGGACTGAATCTCTCTCCGATGCTGCGGACCACGGTGCTGAAGACCCTCAGCAGAGCTGCCAGCTTGGGCAGGGACACAGAAGGAGGGGGGATGTCTTCATCCACCGCCTCACCTGACGTCACATGACTCAGGTCCTACACAGAGCAGGTACTCTTAATATACATCACTCATCAAGTCAGAGTAGTAGTTTTAAGTCAGTAAAACTACTACTCTGAGAAAGGTCTTCTATTTCTTCCATAATCTACAAGCCCAAAGTAGAATATGAATACAAATCACTTTAGAGACAAAAACATGAAGTCACCTCAGCATATGCCTCCATGTCTTCTAGGAACTGGCCCAGTAGGGTGGTGGAGAAGGTGAGGTCTGCCACCCAGAACTGCTCCAGACTCTGTAACCAACCTACACAGTGGAGACTCATTAGACAACATTTAGACTGATGCCAAGCTGTATGCTTCCATACAGCTTGGCTACCAATATGACAAAATATTGTGATATTTTCCCCTTTTTTTCCCCCCTTCTCATCTTTACTTCCATCACTCTGTAATATTCTCATTTTCTGGATTTGGGGGCTTTCATTATCTGTAAATAAGGGCTTGAAATATTTCACTATGCATGATATTTCTGTACAATGAGTTTCACGTATTATAATTTTTTGAGTTGAACGTGCATGCAGCCTGAGACTAACACGACGGTTGCAGTTCCTGGACTTTGACACATGGAGAAATACACAGTTTTGTTCATTTTGTTTTTGTTTAAGCTAAAATTAAACGCAAAACATAAAATAAGATATGAAAAGACCTCCGTTGTCCACATCAAAGCGGACTGACAAAACACTCTGTTGTTTAATAAGGGTCTGGAATATGCCCAGAAATGTGACGACAACAGAAAACAAACTGACCTGAAACCTGCTGAGTGAGTGATTGCCTCTGGGTGTGGTCGATGTGCCAGCCCACTAAGATGTCCACTGTGTCCTGTGGGAGAATATGGACAGACATGAGGAACTGGAGCAGCTGAGTCCAGATGTTGTTCTATCGTCAGCAGGATTCTCACATCCCAGGTCAGAAATCCGTGTTTCTCTGCTCGATTTTCAAAAATTTCCTAAGTTTAATTTATTATGAGACCAACTGATTAATTGAGATTGGCTTAGGTGAGCGACAACTAATGCAATGATTTACGGAAATGCTAATAATTTTCCAGACAAATGTTCCTTTTGCACACATATCCAGACACAAAACTCATGTAAAGTGCATTCATAATTGTTAAAACTGTCACCATGTTATGAGACAGATAATTTCCTTCTTGAGCTTCTATTGCCATCTGAAAAAAATGCACCGTTGCCAACCAAAAACAACCAATCAGAGCCAGGAGGAGAGGCTGAGTACTGTCAATCAATCCCATGTACTTGCTGCTAAATGTACAGAAAAAATGCAGGAAAATTGTCTATCTATGCTAACTAGACTTAGCTGCAGCTTAGCATAGAACAAGAGGGAGATGGGCAGGACCATATGCAATTGTGATTGACAGCGCTAAGACCTGCCAGTGGGCTCTGATTGGTTGTTTTTAGTTAGCAGTAAAAGAAGGCAGAGGAGCTAAACTTTTCACAGATCTGTCTTACACCATACAGTCACGACAAGGTGACAATTTTAACAAAATGTAAAACATATTTTTATAAAAGTTACTTACTGCAGCTTTAATTAAACTTGGTGCTTTTGCTAATTGCAAAGGAGCTCAGGTCAAGGCAAGTGTGGATGCATCAGACTTAAAGCAGGAAGTTAGGAATGTTGGAATGCTCACCCGGAAGTTGGTGCTGAAGACATGCGGGTAGCAGCGGGCCACCTGGAGAATACACTTGACGCTCTGACAGAGCAGCTCTGGGGTGTCCACGTTCTCCAAGATGGACTGCAGGTTGCTCATCACCAGCTGGAGCAGAGAGCATACCACAGTTCCTACAGGCTCTGCCCTTCAACACCTTACACTCAGCACAGCTGTGCTGAGCTTTAGAACAACTGTGGTCCACAGGGTGTGAGAGAGCGATTACCTGCATAATGTGAGAGAAGGCCTTCCTCTCCCCGGCAGCCTCCAGAGCCCGCTGTGCTGCCACCAGGTACAGCAGCTTCACTTCATCACGACCACCAGAGTTAAACTTTGTGAAAAGCCACTTGAAGATGCGTTCCGCCTCGTAGCTGAGCACCGTGCAGAGGAGGCCGACGCAGGCCGCTGCTTCCTGACGCAGCTCCCACAGCAGCTTACTGCTGTGGATGGGAACCATGCAGAGGACGGAGCAAAGGTCACACACACACCATACAGGAAGAGTCACTGCTAGAAAACTAAACTGTGTTCATGAGACCTGATGCCAGGAAGGAGACATTTATCACCAGGGTTCAGAGCCATGAATGAAACAAAGTCCAGAAATGAGAGAAGCTTGGAGCAACTCGTATCATGAGTTCAGCAAATGTAAAGTTCCACCAGGAGTTTGCTAATTGCTGCTGGCTAGTCTGGAGGATCTGAGAGGGGGAATAAAGGGAGAAGTCTGCTCTTCTAGGAAACGGCAGCTCTGAAGAGGAGCTACTTCTGTAAGGTGTGGCTCGGTCCACAGCTGAATGGTTGCCATGGAGATTAAGAGGTTTCTCTAATATGCATGAAAGAATCAGGGCAACAGTCCAGGTATGATTTTGATGAGGGAATAAAATCATAATATGACATAAAGCTAAAAAAAGTTGGTTTTATATAATAATTTTTAAACAGTTTTTTGTGTTCCCTCCTTTATGACAGTTCAGTTCTACTCCCTTATTACAGGGCTTCTTTTCCAAGCCGCAAATTATAATTCACCGTGTGCTTGTGTGAAACGTTCTTTTATGTTTTCTTTTTAACTTTAACATTTGAAAACGTGCAGTTGTGCAATACTGCATATTTTTGGTATTGATCCAATACAGGCCTGTACAGCCGATTCCCAGTGTTTCCAGTGCCTCACCCTACCATTGAAACTGGCCAAGAAGCACATTGATTTTATTAATTCAAGTACCGCAACATTCTGTTGTGAGCCAGTTTGGTCCCTACGTGTTGGCTCTTCTACGCATAGCGCTTTCTCAAGCTAGGGTTATACTGACACATTGAACTGTGCACAACTGGGCCCATTACCCAATCTCTTCAGATCTTGAAGAATGATTTCAATCACACTTAAAGACAGGATAATTAGTCCTGAATCTATCATATCCCACATTTTTGCATTTTTCCACACAAGCACACCGTTTCACAAACTTGCAGCTCACAGCCTCTTACCTCTCATTCAAGATATCATTCAAGGTGCTGAGGATGGTGTCCAGCTGTTTGACCATGGTCTGAAATGAGACACACAGGGTGAGACAGATTACTGCAAAAGAAGACGGCACAACATTCCTAGCTGTGAACAGCAACTGTGGTTTGATGCACTGTAGTCTTGTGACTACGATGGTCAAAAGGAAAACAACGTGAACATGACTGACCACTTTGCTCTCGCCATGGCTGATGAACTCCTTCAGCTGCTTTAGGGTGGCCAACCTGCGGTCACGGTCGTCTTCCCTGGAGACTCTGCGCAGGAGGTTGGCCAGTCGAGACTCCTCCGAGTGAGCCATCCCTCTGTCTGCACCAACGCACCCAAACACACACGCCTTTAGAATGTTTTCTGGACGTTTTATTCTCAACCTGTGAAATCACGGCGCTTGGAAATCTTGACGGCAGCTTAAAAGAAGGAAGAAATTGATTGTGGCCAGCATTTTTAATATTGGCTTCACCCCAGTACGGGCTTTGTTTAACTTTTTTTTTTCCAATAATTAGCTTATGTTGACAATATAGGTTGTTTTTCTTTTTGTCTTCTTTTCTCTTTACTTATTTCCAATCCTATCATTGTGAATTGAAACACACCATGTAAGACAAAAGCTGCATCTTACAATGAAGCATGTATTTGATCCTAAAAAACAGTGGAATCAGTTTGTTCAAACTAATCTTAGTCAGAAACGTACCACAGTCAGAATGCAGCAACAGGAGAACTTTAACTGCAATACTTTTGCTAAAAAATCTGATAACTATATAAATTATGATTGATCTGAAAGTCTTTTCTTTCTTGAGGGAAACACAATGTCCCTACCATAAACCACCAGTCTGGAACAAACACTGAGTTCCTTTCAATCAAGGCTAAAAACCCATTTGTTACAGCTGCCTTTGATTTATAACAACTGGAACAATTGATCAATATATTTCAACTATATCTGATGATTGTTCCTGATGTTTTTGATGATGGAATTTAACAAAATGTAATGTTTGTTTCTCGTTTCATAATTAGTCATTGTGCTATTCTTTTGTCATATAAAGCACTTTGAACTGCCTTATTGCTGAAATATTAATGTCAAGTTCATTTATATAGCACTTTTAAAAACAGGTTGAAATCATAGCAAAGCGTGTTTTTTTAAATTTGGTTGTCAGATATCTATGAACAACATGGTTAATGATAAACTTGACTTACCACATATGACACACAGCTATCTTAGCTGTTCAGCTAAGAGTTCATTCAACTGTTTTTGTCAGAGTTGCTTAGAGTCTGAATTAATCATTTTAAATATTACATCCTACAAAATGTCTCATCCAGGCATTCCTTTGAGATCACAGCTTTTCACATACTGATCATTTGATGACTACTTCCATGACTAAATTCTTATGTCAGAGCTTCACCAGGTTGTCCCTGCTTACCCTGCGATTTCCTCATTTCCTTTGAAGCTAAAGCACGATTTCCATGCTGAAAAGTAGTCAGATCCGACGTCACGTCATTGGGCCTCAACTCTTCCCCCAGCGACTTCCAACCAAATGCTGTATCACACACACTGGGCTCAACTTCATATCCAGCTATGGAGAGGAAACGTGAAAGGTTAGAGCAAAAGAGAAACGTACAACCCTCTTTGGTCACCATGCAATTCGGAGTATTTTTGTTAAAGTTCTCATCTTGTGACACCAGCCAGACACTTTGAAATTATAAAATAGCTATTAATAACTATAACAACATAAATAACTATGCCGTCTGTGAATGTAAGGGAGTAAATATTGTGGCCTCTTGGATTTTTCTGCTGCTTCATGGTGAACAGTTCCTACTGATATTATGAATAGAAACATATATTAATGTGCAATAAACAAGTTCCCTCCTTTTATAATAAAATAATGGGGAGGAAGTTAGCGAGGCACTGATCAAATAATATCTATATTGGTCCCAATATTGAAAAAAAGTCTAGATGGGGCATCAGTAATAATGTGACCAATTCATAAGAATAGATCTATTCAGTCTAATTCTAAGCTCAGAGTGATGTCATGTTTTATTATTTATTTTACATTATATTTAGGATTCCTAATTGCTCTTAATGAACCATTTGAAAACCATTTGTTGCAGTTTATTTGACATGTTTCACATTGTCAACCTATTGTTTTTATCAGCTTCAATTTCTTTGTCATTTATTTTCCATTGGCTGCTCTACTACTAACTGCACTGAACAAATGAAAGTAGTTTTATTTTTACGTGTTTGACAAAGTTTGTGAAGTTATTGGTGTATTTGAATGTGCAATACTTCTGAAGAGTTATCAAAAAAATTTGTAATTCAGTGCATTCATGTCTGTGTTTAAAAAAAAAACCCAACAACAACATTTTTTAAAGTCAATTCTGCTTTGTTTTTCTGTATCAGGTTGGTAATTGTCAATGCTAAATCAGCTAAAGAACAGTTATAAAAATGACCTGGCATTCTCTTTCATAACCTACATTTTGGATCTCAATATGAAAATCTACAACCTTGAACCTTAATGTTTGGTGAGTAACCAGGCTAACTGCAATGCAGACAACCACTGAAGTGATGATACCTCTAGTGGAGTAAGCCCTCTAGAACCATAAGCTACCTGGTAGATTTTGTGACTTATGTCTACAGAAAATTACATCGCAGCCCCGGACTGTGAATTAAATAGAGCCTCTCCTTATAGAGAATGCCTCTATTCTTAGACAGCCTTACCCTCCTCCTGATGTGCATCTGCAGCAACGTAGGCATCACTGTGGAGCGGAGGCTGTTCAGGGCACGTGGAGGGCAATACGTCATATAGTGGTCCAGAACCAAGTTCTCTGGACTTCACTTTATCCTGTAGGGATGACACGCCGTCACCTCTGAGGTGTTCATGGAAAAAGCACAGAAAAAAAAGGTTTTACTGCCCTGGTTTTTATAAGCCAAGATTCAGATTGGCATCAGGTGCCCTATTCCAGGCAACCTAAATCTTGGAATAGACCAGCAACAGGAAAGAATCAGCAGTGACATTGTAATTCTTAATGATTTAGGAAAGTGAAACAGAGATATGACCATAATCAGACTGTATATTGAATGTAGATGGAATGCATCAGCAATACCTTAGCTTAATACCAAAATCAGTCAACTTTAAGATGACTGGCTGTTTGGAAACAAAACCTCATGGGCTGAAAGCTGTGACTATATTCTAGAGATCTGTTGCAGGGTCAGATTTAACAAGAGGCATACAAAGGTTGCACAATATTAAGACAGTGTTATTAAGCAATAACATTGGTGGATGTTATGATAAAGATGTGACTTGTAATACACAAACAAAAACTGTTGATGTATTTCTGCTTTCAGTGCAGACAGACTTCAGACGGCAGCTGCTTCAAATTAAAATTCATCTTTTTTTGTTTCAAAACGAAAAAAATAAGAAAAAAATAAGAAGTGCTTAAGGCCAACATCTGCTGCTCTGGCACTGAAAAAACTAGCCATTTATTTAGCTTCTTATTGATATGACTCCATTTTATGCTGCATTGAACAACAGGTGTGGGAATATCTGACTCATTCTGTGTGTTGGAGTTCTTTGCTTCTGTGTAAACATCAATTTCCAAAGGAAAAACAGTTATTACTGTTTGTAATAAATAGCATGGCACTCTAACTAATGTAAGAAAAGTTAGAGTAGTACTAATATTGGCTATGACCATTTAAGACATCTTCAATTGCCTTGCAATTAAATAGAGTTTGGTCTCAACTGTCCTGCTGACGACACAGGCAGAAGGCTGGAAATATTTGAAATCATTTAAGAAAATGAAAGTGTAAGGAGGTAGACACATTCACAGCACTGTAATTTGACTAACCAAACTTCAAGTCCAAACCAAACAGAATTTTGTGCATAAGATCTTAAAGCTTAAAGGAAGTCGTGATGGAAAAGAAAGAAAAGAGTCAGGAAGATGTGAGTTAATCACACCCGAAGTAGTCATCAAAAGATTCATTTAGTGGATTTGAACGTTTTCCTAAGATTGTGACTCAGTGGTGATTTGTTCTGAGAATGTCTCACAGCGAGGAGTAAGGAAATGTATTATGTCAATTGTTTTCAGTTTTTTTGTTAAAACACTTGTTGGTCACCAAACAGTGCATCACCATAAATCAGAGGAAATGAACTTGTGTGGGTTTACATAGTTTCTTCCTGGGTGGTTGAACTGAACAGATCAGTATCTGTTGACAGATTTACAGCCTGTTCGTTGCTGTTCCTGACGCCTTGCTCTCTGCATGCTCCCGCTCTGAGCTGTTTCCAGTTTGCTGAAATCAAAGCGTGAGACACTGAGGCTGACCTGTGCGGGTCGGGGTTGTCATGATGACTTACCGCGCTGCAGGTGCATCCTACTGACTCTAAACGCAATAGATATTGGTGAGATGTGGTCTGAAGTCTCACACACAGAACTGACAGGTAATGTGCTTTCTACACTGCTTGTCTCACAGTGAGCTCGGGCCTTTAACAGATTGCTGCACCACAAAGGGCTTCCGCCACGACGCTCCACTGACTGTCGGGGTTCATTCATTGCTGTGTTGACTTGCCATGTTTATGAATTATCACCGCAACGAGAAACAATGTCAGCACAGTCCTATTTTAGCATCCAGTGGTTTCCGGAAGTGACTTGGAGGTAGGTAACATTACACAGCAGGGTGGCGGCTTCCTTCAGCTGACTAGCATCGTTAGCCAGCGCGAACAGAGGTGCATTAATGCTAACGGGCTAAAGCTTCACGTTCGGACTAATGTTCACAGGGAATGTGTTGACATTAGGATGAGAATTCATTTAATTTCGTCTTTGGCTCATATGTTCCACACGCCACTTGTCAGTAAACCCCAAACAGCCGTCGCTCCTAACGTCCTCCGAGTAGCGTTAGCTCTGAGCTCGGCACACCGTGATGGAGGCTGGTTAAAACAGCTTGTGTTGCTACTGCAGCTCCAGCTACTTCACAGACCGTAACATAAAACGGTTAAACGGAGAAGAGGGAGTAAGACTGAAGTGAAAACACGGAGGTATCTGGCTCCCATCTGGCCACAGCCCAACACAGCAAGACACCCAGGCCCCCCGAGAGCCGCCGTTTTATTTTGAGAAGAGCACCAACCAACCTGGGCTGCCAGTCGTTCCAGTGTGGCCGCAGTTTGTGGGCGCCGCTGAGCCGAGACCCCGGGGCTTTACGGCTCATTACCTTTTGGAGCGCTGCATATCCTACCCGCAGCGCTACACGAGTATTTCCGCAGCTTCGTTCTTCACATTTATGCTCTGTCAAGTCTCAATAACTGCTTAGCAACTTGTCATTATAGCTAGCATACGACGGCGTTCTTCTTCTTTCACTTCTACGTCGTCTTCTACTTCTTCTTCTGCGGGGGACTCACGGTGGCACAGCGAGCCTCGTGATGTGGTACCGCCACCCTCTGAGGCGGCCAGATGCAGAGCACCCAAAATGATGCTCCAACAAGAATATCAACGTTTCAACATTTTACTCAAGCAGCAGTAACATGTAGCCGTCCAAAAAATAACTGAAGAGCAAAAAAATTATCTGTAAAAGTGCTCCTCGGGTACTGAGTAACAGTTTGTTTTTCTTTGTACTAACAATTCGTAACATCTGATCTACAATGATCTCGTCAGACAGACAAAAAAAGAAGTTATTTGTAAGTTCTAATATTTTAAAACTAAAATTGAAAAAAAAAATATGCAAAATAACATTTTGATCAGAAGAAACATGCAGAGTCAAGAAAAGTAAAAAAAATAAGCATAAAAGAACAAAGACGGTTTCAGAAAACAACGAATATGTAAAGTAAATAAACAGAGAGCATATTTCTTGAAAATGTTTTGCACGTTATACATAAAAAGAAAATACACTAGTATTCTTTTGTATAAGTGAGTAAATGCAAATTTCAAAAGCACCAAGTTCCGTTTTTGTCCACTAAGTGGCAGAAGAGAGCTAATATGTGGATCCACCACAACAGTTCATTTCTATTTTGATGAATTTGGAATGAATTTTTTTCCACTTCTGTCATTTAACTGTAACTTATAAACAAGTCTATTGATTTTACAAGTGGTTCAGTTTTCACTTTAAAGATGTGAAGTTATTGTTTGCTTTCTTTATTGCTGATAAGGGGAAAAAAACATACAACCTGAAACTTCACTGTTCACCTCGTCTTCTCACCCTCCCTATTGAGCCCAGCCTCTTTTTGACCTCCTCCACCTATGCCCCCCCTTCTCCATCTATCTCCCTCTGCTGGCTAATAATACCTCTGTGCGGATCTGAGCAGAGGCCTTTGATGGAGCCGGCCACTCCAGGCAGCCATGCGTCAGCTATGACGTCAATGCATCCAAACAAACAGGGCTCTGTTTGTAGGAGTAGCTTGCCATGGATGGGCTCTTGGGCTAGTTAGCTCTCATATTCCCGTTTATTAATGTGGATTTTTATTGTGCAGCATAAAGACAAAAACAGGTTTGCAGGCTGCTGGGTCAAAGGAGGGAGGAGCATCAAGTTATAGAAGCAAAAACAGGACTGTTAGTTTTTTAGTTTTACCCACATTTGACATACATTACTCAGATTTCTGTTTTTATTCAGATGCTGTTGTTCTGCATTGTGTGTTTTATCAGATTTTGTTTGATATGGAGCCAGTTAGCATGCTCCAGTGTAAGTCTTTTTTTTTTTTTTTACATGGGATGGAGTATTTATTTTTTTCAGGCAAACAGTACCATTTCAAAGCATAAACAAGTAACTATGCTACATTTAGCTTCTGCATAAATTCTTCTGGCTACAAAAACAAAATTTTGGCCCAACCAGTTTATAAGTTAAAGGGACAATCACTTTTTCACATATGTAGGCTTTTTTTCTCCCTCAACAATAAACACCTTCGTTTTGTTTTTATTTTTGTTGTTTGTGACTGATGTTCAAATTGGTTTGATGTTTGGAAACACTGAAGTATGACCAACATGCAAATAAATAAATAGAGAGTCATTAAGGAGCAAACACACATTGCATTGAAGAGTTTTGTTGAGGAGTCAGGTTAGATCTAAATGAGCTTAAGAATTTGTTTGGACAAAGTGACAAACTTGGTGTGTATTTCATTCCAAACACTATTTCACAACTCAAAAGATAAAACATTATTACGAGCGAGTACTGCTTGATTAGTTTTCACAAAATTAGAGATCAGTTACCTTTCTGGAGAGCAGATTCTTAATCTATTTAACAATTATGGCAGTGATCAATGATTTAATAACTGGAAATATGAAAATGAAGTCAATCTAATATTTAGCTGTTTAAGAAATTAATTTTAAGTTCAAAGCACCATAAATAACATTATTACTGTTGAAAAATAGATCCCTGAAGCATGACACTGTCACCACTGTGTCATTTAATAAAGTATTGATTGTACTTACTCAACGCTACCAAACATCGTGTTGGAAATTCTTTTCAGAATTGTTGGCATTTTAAAATGAGCTCAAACTGATAAATTTTACTCTCACTTTTTGCCACTATTCCACAAACATTTATGACTTTTTGTGAAAATAAAAATCTCTGCTTTTCACTTTTACATGAAAGTCAGCTTTATGGAGGGAATGACTACATGTCGTCCTGTCAGCTGATCTTCCCTCCTGTGGAGGATCTCTGCAGCTCCTCCAGAGTTACCACCGGCCTGTTTCTGTGATGATCCTAGTGTGTGTGTCTTTTGTGTGTGTGCGAACACAGGATGCCTTCTTCAGATGGTGCACCTTTCTGTAATTTTCCTAAAGCCAAACAGCTGGAGATTGAAGGAACTGCAGGTTGTCTGATGATCAACCTTGTTGGTAGAGTCAAGTCAACTCTGCTCTCATTGTTATTATTCCCAGAGCTTCTGAAGAAGTTATTAATGTCTGCTTACCTCTGCTGAGCTTAACCTGGCGCTCTCTGTTCTCCCAAAGTTGCCACACCGACTTCAGAACCCTTCATCAAACGTTCTTGTGACAGATTTCTTACAGAACCAGATTAACACCACGGTGGTCCACTCCTCCATCCCCCGTCTTCGCCTGCTGACCCACTCTCCAACCTTCTTTTTGCCCGCTTCGTGGGTTTCAAGCTGCTCCAACAAAACCACCTCAGAATCACAAATCCTCTTCGAGACATCTCCGCCTACATTCCACTGCCAGTATCATCGCTTTTATTTAAGGGTATCGCATCAAATGGGACTGAAGCCTTATCCAAGCCACACTTTTCAGAATTAAATTTGCTTTGCAAAAAATTACAATGTAAACAAAAGGGGGAAATGACCAGTTACCTGGTCATTCTGTGCAGCAGAAATCTGATAAAATCGTATTTGATTTATTCGTGGGCAGGTGTGTGTGTGTGTGTGTGTGTGTGTGTGTGTGTGTGTGTGTGTGTGTGTGTGTGTGTGTGTGTGTGTGTGTGTGTGTGTGTGTGTGTGTGTGTGTGTGTGTGTGAGTGTGGGGGTGTGTTTGTGCGTGTGTGTGCAGGTGTGTGTGTGTGTGTGTCTGTGTGTGTGTGTGTGAGTGTGTGTGGGTGTGGGTGTGTGTGTGGGTGTGTGTGTCTGTGTGTGTGTGTGTGAGTGTGTGTGTGTGTGTGTGTGTGTGTGTGTGCGTCTGTGTGTGTGTGTGTGTGCGTCTGTGTGTGTGTGTGTGTCTGTGTGTGTGTGTGTGAGTGTGTGTGTGTGTGCGTCTGTGTGTGTGTGTGTGTGTGTGGGTGTGTGTGTCTGTGTGTGTGTGTGTGAGTGTGTGTGTGTGTGTGTATGTGTGCGTGCGTGTGCGTGTGTGTGTTTGTGTGCGTGTGTGTGTTTGTGTGTGTGTGTGAGTGTGTGTGTGTGTGCGTGCGTGTGTGTGTGTGTGTGGGTGTGTGTGTGTGTGTGTGTGTGTGTGTGTGTGTGTGTTTGGGGCGGGGGGGGGATTCGCCGATGGAGACAACGGGTCACATGTACTTAGTGAATGCACACAAACTCTGTTCCTCACGCCAACACTGCCCTGCACTTGGGTTTGTTCCCTAGCAACCGCGCTGTTACTAAGGGACTGATTGCAAAGATGCAGTGTTTCCATGGCAACAGAAGAGGCTGAGTCATCGTCACTGCGGTACAGGCTCTCATTCCAGCTCACATGTGTCTGGCTGAGCCTGAGCAGATAACCATTCATACCCGCCCTGTCAGGAAGAAAAACAAAGGAATGGAGAAACAACAGCAAATGTATTTTTATGGCCAGTCATATTCAGCCCATTAGAATAGAAGTTCTAGTCAGGTTGAAATACATTTTTGAAAATAATTACCTTTAAGCAGGTTTTAAACCTTTTTATGTTCTACACCAACAGAGATTTTTCTTTTTTTTAATAGATATGTTTTTAATGTATGTTTTAGCTGTAAGAAGAATGTCATCATAACTAACAAAACAGGGTCATGCAGTCTGTGTGGAATTCATTTGTTTGATTTGTCTCATTTAGTTATGGAGTTATTAAATATAATGAATAAATGAATTTCCATTAATATATCTCATCTACTGGGTATGACTGTACACATATCCATCCGTCCGTCCGTCCATCTGTCTGTCTATGTGGATTTTTTTATTCAGATAAGCTACTTACAGTATCCAGTAGAGTATCCAGTAATTTAAGAGTTTGATACTTTATCAAACTCAAGTTTTCACTCCAGTAAAAATGTCGATGTTTTCAGGGATTTGTTTCAAATAAAAGTAGTTTTCTCTGGCTCTGTCAGATATTCTGGAACCTCACAGGCTTCACTGTTAATCTGAACAGGTTGTGTCTGGGCAGAGATGATTATTTTTGGATAAAAAAATGTAAATACTTATTTCATTGTACTTTTTATTGTTTTGGGGGCGGAGCAGTCCATAGAGCAAGTCAGAGCCAATCAAGACTGCAACAAGCCTTGTTTACGAGTCTTTGGAGAATTCGTAGTTGGGGAACATGAGCTTTTTCTGCTTTATCTCTCACTAACCTCCATAAATATTATGCCAGGATTGTCCTCAGAGACGTGCAGGATCATAGTTGATTATCTCTGGCTGCTAATGCTGACATGGGAGCCAGCACTGGCTCCCATGTTTCAACTGAGCCCCTAAATCCAGATAACACCAGGCCTTCTGTCCAACCAATCTCGGGAAGTCATGCACGCATTTTGACGCCATCTTGGTAGTCCCTAACTCTGGTCAACCTGTGATGACACCGCATTCCATTCTCATTCTCAATTCCTCACATCACACCTTGTTATCTTAACTGTACTGCATAGTTATTTTATTTCAGTTTTATTCTTAGGTCCTTTTTGTTGTTATGATTATTGTTTAATTTGATGAATTTAAATTCTTGATATTTTTTCTTTCTATTATCTAAATTTCCAATAAACACACAGAAATAATGTGATTTTAATATGACAATACAGAGAAACAAATCAATGGGTTTACATTAGAAATTCATTAGCACGTCTTCTGATCTAATGAATGTGTGATCAGGTGAAAGCGAGGAGCAGTGCTGCCTGGCTCTGTGTGCAGCCACAAACATAAAAGACTGTAGCAACTGTTCTTAAAAGTTTCTTTATTTTCATGTCTGTCAATGAAGAACAATAAATGCTGTAGCGCCAGCTTTGTTCTGCAAAGTCTTTTGAAGACACAACATGTGGCAAGCAACAGAAGCAGTGATCAAATCTGGAATAATTCTCTTTTTTTCTGCTGATGAAGGTGAAACCTGACCCTTACGCCATCTGTGACGTCTGCGGCAATGTTCCAGATTAAAACACCAGATCAGGTAATACCGTCAAGCTTTTTGTTGTTGTTGTTGTTTGTTTTTGATTTTTTTTTCTGTCTTCAAAGATAACAAGCAGATAGGGGCAGGAACATCTGCCATGCAGTCCCTCCGGGGAGTTTGCCTTCAGCGAAGCTCCACCTCCATGAGTAAAGAGACGCTACGGATGAATCTCTGTCTCTGGTCCTGTCGGTTCTGTAGCTCCCAGGCACAGCCACTCTGCGCTTCTCCCTCCGTTTCTTCCTTTCTGTGTCACTCTCTCAGTCCAACGAGGCAGGGAGCTGGAGAGCTTTCTATTTTTAGATTCCAAGCCGCCTGCTCAGCCTCCCACCCCCTTTGGCAGAAAAAGATACACCCACATAAAGACTCACAAAGCATCCATGGACATCGCACACTGAAAGGCACAACACACAGGCTGTCTTATGTACCGAGCGCGTGCAAACACACAACGCACGCACACAAACACACACATGCACACGCACACATACACGCATGCAAGCTGGAATAGCATTAATTCATTTACATTTAAATCAAGTCGCACACAAACACATGCACTCGCGCTTGGAAATGTCAAGTACAAAGCAAAGTGTGAATCAAACCCTTAAGCACATATCACATTGCTCATACTATAGCATTAATAATGCAGGACTTCTTAGTGCAGAAAGAGGAACACTCCCTGTAGGGGAGGGGGGAGGAGCTCTGGCTCCGTTGCTGCTTCTGTGATGTGGCCAATGTGTGGGAATAACAATAAGACGGCCAAATATCTGCTCCAATCTCAGATAAATAACTCTAAGATATACAAATAAGTTACAAATGACTCACAAAAACGACTCTCAACATACGATTATAACAACATGGAGTCACCATAAAGTCAGAGAGCAGATACTGGGGTTTCACACTTTCTAAGACTCTACTTTGTTGCTATGGTACCCACCTATATTTGTACAGGTATACGAGAGAGACTGATCCAAAACATGGACAGGGAAAGAAGGAAGGAAAACAGAGATAGATAGATAGATAGATAGATAGATAGATAGATAGATAGATAGATAGATAGATAGATAGATAGATAGATAGATAGATAGATAGATAGATAGATAGATAGATAGATAGATAGATAGATAGATAGATAGATAGATAGATAGATAGATAGATAGATAGATAGATAGATAGATAGATAGATAGATAGATAGATAGATAGATAGATAGATAGATAGATAGATAGATAGATAGATAGATAGATAGATAGATAGATAGATAGATAGATAGATAGATAGATAGTTGGTAAAACTAATTCAGGTTTCTCACTTTTGGCTTGCAGTTTTGAAACAAAATGCATCATTATGCTACAATGAATCTTATTTCTATTACTTCTTCAGAGCAATGAAAGGCACACAGCTAAAGAACAGACTGTTTTAGTTATTTTAGCAATTTAAAACCATTTAAACTGAAAATGTTAATATTTGTATATACAACATCCTGTATATACAACAGACCTAATTTAATTGATATTAAATTAGGTCTTCTACAGCCTGCCTGATCAGCTGCGACCCATCGCTCCACTCCAAAAATGCCAAGACCTTTATGTTCACAACATATTTTGGCATTTTTTTTAGGAATAGTTTACTTCAAATCACTGTTTCCATAAAGATGAAAACAAGGAGCAGATTCCTGTTTCATCTGTCCCTGCTGGCATACCAGTTTGGGTGGACGTCCATGTCCGTAAAGCTGAGGTATCGCCACAGGATACATTTAAAAAGCTCCCGAGTTTTCAGGCAAAATCAACAAGACTCTGAACTTCTCATGCAACCAGAACAACAAAGCATAATTGTTACAAGCTCAATGCAGAAAACTTGAGGAATCAGGTTGTTGACCTCACAGACTCTAACAAAGTAGTAAAAAGAAGGCAGTAAAAGCTGGAAGGCTGGGTATGTATTAGGTCTGCTTAGAAACTCAGAGAGCTGCAGGCGATCCAGAACGGTGCTGCTCGTGTTCTCATTAAATCAAGAGGCTTTAATAATAAGCCTGACCGTTTTGCTGTGTTTGTTCTTCCACTCTGTGAAAACCTCCACTTCCCTGCGCCCCCTTGCATTCTCAGAATATAGATGGCCATCTTCCTTGTGCTGTTGTGTGCATTTAATGCTGTAGATGTTTCTGTATCCTGCTCCTGACTGATACATTACAGTGACTGGATGATTTGGAGTCATGTCACAACTTTACAATCTCTGGCTCATTTAGCTGAAGTCACCGTTTGCAAAACGCAGTCACAGTGGCTTCAGCTAAACGACGCAAATCTCAGAAGACTCTAGATTTGGACAGATGATCTTGATTTGAGGTTCGCCACATTCCCTGTAATTTATAATAGATATGTTCCTATAAGAGTGTGTTATGAAATTAAATCAAAGTGTTAGCTTGATGTTGTGCAAAAACACTATTGTTGCTTTTTTATTTTCCAATTTCTTCTCCTACAGATTTGTTTTGCTGTTGAATTACACATTCAAATTATTTATGATGCAATGCATTTCAAAAACGTGGTCTTTCAGCAGACCACCACAAACAGAAGACATGGGTATAAAGTTGTCTGCTGAACCAGAAAGATGAGGTAAAAATGCAAAAAATATAACAGAACTGATGCATAAAAACATTATTGGAGGAAAAGTTTAAAAAGTAAGGGAGAATAAGTAAAAACCTATAATTATCTGTTTTCCAGTTACAAGGTATCATTTCATAACACTATAAAATTACTAAATTGCCTTGAGTTGTTGTGAAAATTCTATATATCTCTGTGTATGATGATCATAAATTTGACATTGTAATTTAAAGCCTTGAAATTGGGCCTCTGTCTCTTTAAGAAACTCCTGCTCTTTCTGAAACTCCACCGTCAGCAAGCCATCACAACATGGCTCCTCTATTAACCCTGAAACAAAGTTTTTACCAGCAGATGCTCACTTTGCTAATTTCTGCTGGCTAGTCTGAAGGAGCTGGGTGGTACAGGACTGTTCTATGTGTCAGAAGCTCAGTAGCTTGAAAATGCAGCTCCAAGGAGGAGCTTTGTCGTTGAGAGGCGGGGCTAGGTCCACCCAGGCATTTTGTCCAGCTGAACAGTTGTTGTGGAGATCAAATGATTTCTCATGAAGGAATCAAGGCAGCATTCCAGGTGTGTTTTGGATGAGAGAATAACATTATAACATGAGGAAATGCTTTATAATATACACCTTCATATTATAAAGGTGTATATTATGCACCTTTAAATACACGAGTGGAAAGAAGGAAAACAAATACGATTCAAATTAAAAAGCAAATTTCATAAATCTGAGACAAATAAATACAGGCTTATGCCAGATGGAACCAACAAAAAAATAATAATTCTGGTGTGTTTTTCTTTTTCCCCATTTGTTGAGTACATTGTTGAAGCCATTTATTTATTTATTTATTTATTTATTTATTTATTTATTTATTTATTTATTTATTTATTTATTTATTTATTTATTTATTCTGTTTGTTTGTTTTTTCGTGATTATGACCTCCGTAGTAAAAGTCAATGTAAGCCTGCAATGTAACAGCTTGAGAGGCTCACTGAGACATTAATCCAGGTAAATCCACCATTTGAACAGAATTTTCTCCCCAGCAGAAGATGCTGCTGCTGCTGCTGCTGAGGTTGCATAAGAAGCAGCGGATCTGCACAGCGCCTCTACCGTCGCCCTCCCCTCCTCTATCTGTTCAAATGAGACAGCGCTGCTCGGCTCTGCGCTCTGAGTGTGTGTCACAGAACGGGCCGCTCTGTTATGGAGGACTAACCGACTGAAAACGCCGCACAGCGCCTCTCCTGCCGCGCACCGAGGGCTCCCTCCAGGCCGGCAGGCTGTGGATCTTCTGCCGCTCCCCGCGCTTTGTGGACCGTCGTGCTTCTTATGGGATCGGGAGGCGCATCCCTGGCTCTCTCTGACTCCCTCAGAATCATCTCCCTCGGCCTTTTTTCTGCGTCGCAGCATTTTTGGGAGGAAAAACGTGATTAAGCGGCCGGAAGCAGCGAGCCGATCATGGATTAATGCCCGAGTGAATTCTCATCTGAAAGGTATATTCTCACAGGGATGCTCGGAACCGAAAGGCCGTATAGGAGGAAGGATGTGTCCGGTGCGAAACGTTTACTTGTGTGTGTGTGTGTGTGTGTGTGTGTGTGTGTGTGTGTGTGTGTGTGTGTGTGTGTGTGTGTGTGTGTGTGTGTGTGTGTGTGTGTGTGGTTATGTGTGTGTGTCTCTGGGAGTGGGGGGGGGGAGGTTTGTGATGGATGGTGGTGGGTGATGGCAGCAGCATCCACCCTGCAGCTCCTGCGCCCTGGCGGAGCGGAGGGGCCTGCAGAGGAGCGGGGCCGCTTCCAGCGGGGACAGGGACTGGCTGTTCCGCCTCTTTGTGTCCGCGGCCCGGGCCTCCGGGTTTCTGACTGACTGACTGCTAGTCACCCGCATCGAGCTGCGTATCATTAACAAACACAATGACGTCAGCGTCTGCCGGTGACGCGACCCTTTCCTCGACCACCTTCTCATTCATCCATGTTTTTATTCCACAGTGATTCTCAGAGTCGATGCTCTGCAGGTCTCGCTGCTCTTGCAGGACCTGCTTCCTCTCCTCCTCCTGGGAAGTTTTCACGTTTAAACCTGTAGAGTTTTAAAGGGACTGGAGCTGATTAGCATTAGAACCAAGCAATCAGCATGAGCGTGTGGTGACAGGCGGGGCTTCAGTTGTTCCTCAACACTAACATGTTGTGTTTTGTTTTGTTCTCACAGAAGCTCTTGCTGGTCAGAAGTGAACTCACTCTTCATTGGTGTGAAGCTTCTTGATATTCTGATGGTTCCCTCTTACAGTCCTAATTAGGGAGAATATTTTGGTTTCCAAAAAGAGAACACCTGGACCAATTCAAGCACGCTTGGTCCATACTGTAAGACTGATTATCATAATGTCTTTAAAGTGTCCCCTTCTGGATAGGTTAAATAACACATTTCAGATGGACTTTCAAAGCTCATGCCTGTGAACTCGTGGCATTGTGGACAGTGTCCCAACACTTTGCAGGTTGAGCTTGAGCCTTGTTGGTTCCTGGGTTGTTCATCCTTTGAGAATCCTCCTGGCCTGTTCCAGATCTGACACAGTTACCAGTTGTTACGCAGAATATTTGTCTCAGAACCTACAGCCGTTCAGAAGAGTCTCCAAAAGACTTTCTCCACTTTTCTTGTAGTCTTTCTAAAGTTCCCCTGACTTTCATTGTTCTAAGAACTGGTTACTAACCAGTACGAGAAAAAGAAAGGTAGAATAATGTAATTATAGCTCGAAAGTAAACATTGCTACTAGATGAAATTTTGTTGTTTCTGAATTCTCCTCTTTATTGTATAACGTTGAAAGTCTAAAACGATGTGAATCATTTAGACTATTTAGCTGGACTTTTATCTGTGTAGACAGCCTTTTAGTATGCTAATATCTAATAAGAAATCTAATTATTTTTAAAGGGGCAGAATAATGTGTTTACAAGCCACATTGAATCATTTTATAGCACACTCAAGTTACCTTGAGTTGTGTTGGATATATTTAATAAGATTAGAAAAGAATTGACTTATTTACAGCCTTTAAAATGGGCATTTGTGGGGCCCTGTGGTGCTGCCGGGGCAAAGACGACCCTCCTATGGAGGCCTTAGTTCTCCATGCAGACATCACAGGTTTCAGTCCTGGCTTGGTGATCTTTGCCACCTGACTTCATTCTTTCTCATTATACTTTTCTATCTTACCGCTTTCAAGTAAAGGTAGCTTGAGCCAATAAGATCTTTAAAGAAATTTGGCCAAATCTCTTTAAAAACTCCTTTCCTTTCCAAGCCTCCATCTTCTGGAAGTCATCACAACATCAATCTATTAACCCTTTAATGCTGATTTTTACCAACATTTCACTGAGAAGTAGCTGCTACACTTCCACCAGGTGTTTGCTGATTGCTGCTGGCTAGTCTGAAGGAGCCGAGTGTGGGAATAATGTGGCGGGGCGGCTCTGTGAGCATGAAAGCTTGGAAACTCCAGCTTCCTCCTTCATCGTTGAAGGCAGCACTAGAGTCCATCACAGCTGAACGGTTGTGTGGGAGATTAAAAGATTTCTAAAACATGCATGACAGAATCAAGGCAACACTGGGTATAATTTTTTACAAGGGAATAACATTATAATGTAATGTAAAGCTCAAAAAGGTTGATTTAAAATACTGGCCCTAAGGATCCTCACATATTTCCAAACAAAGAACTTAAGCGTTATGGAATAGTTGAGGAGAATCGACTTCCTATGACAGATGACTGACCGCTCAGTTATCAGTAAATTAGTACTTATCTACTCTTTACTACGCAAAGTTACTTTTTATGAAATCTAATTTAAGCGAATTAAAACCACAATGAAAATGTAAAACATTGATTGAGGGTGTAAAACAAGATTTTTTTAAAAACTTGGGCAGTGTTTCTCTGAGCCTCAGAAAACATCAAGGAAGATAAGACAAAAAAGCACAAATAAAAAAAAGAAATATATTTATCAAAAAATGAAAATAATTATTATAATCAACTTTTAGACTAACTCGGGTGCTTCAGGATCCCTCTACCCACCGACATTGGTCTTCAAGGATTCTCCTGAACTGAACAAGATTTTCCCATCATTTATGTCTGTCATCAAGATCTCTTTTAGCTTGACCAATTCCCATGAAAGCAGTTTACTATGGCAGGCCCACCAGGAGCCGAGGTTCTGCACAAGGTAGCCCTCAGGATGATGCAGCAGCTGAAATGAGCTGCCGGATTCGACCTTATGGAACGCATGAAGAGTGCATTATGGACTTGGTGGTCTTTTGCATCAAAAGGATTCAATCGATGTGCTTTGGACATCTGATTGGGATGCCTAGTGGTTCTCTTTGATTTCCCAGAATGTCCACTGGGAGAAAATCCTGGAAGCTAATGAAGGGGCTACGTAACCCTCCTGTGTTTGAGAACCTGATGGAATCTAACAGACTGTGATGGAGAGGGTCACTCGCTTTGGAGATCAAAATGACTGGGTTTCCCTTTAAGACCTGGTCCAACACATGTCAAATAATGAGTGGATGATAACTCACACATCCAACACACATTATTGGGAAAAATAAACTGTAATCAGAAAGAATGTGATAGTATTTTTTTGCTGGCCCTGCTAGCAAAGGGCCATACCTCCCGGGGTATGGAGGGACGTTCAGGGATTGAGGATTGGAGTCTGATGGGGGGTCTGAGCTGTTTCCTCTCTTTCTGTAGGTGTAGAAGCAGACGTCTAAGAGTGTTATCTTTTCTTTATCCTCCTTTATCTCTTTTCCTCTTATTTTCTTCCTTCCCTTTAAACTTTTGCACCCCACCTCTCTCCCTCTCCCCCAGCCCCTTTCTTTTCTGCTTTTCTTTTCAAATGCAGTTTGCTCACTGCATTTGAAATAAACCCAAAGCATTTTGGGATGGTGATGTATTTCACAATGGAGCTTATGAAATGTGTCTTATTTTACTGTTTTCTAAGTCTTAGCTTTCCTCTCCACCACCTGTTTGCGGTGGAGAGGAACATCAGAAAGCCCTTCCAGCTGATTGATAATATCCATAAAATTCTACAGTGCATTGGAAGAAAACCACCCTGATGTTCTCTGTTATGTACTTGGACTTTTTGCCAGGCTTCAGACAGATTACGCTTCTTATGAAGCGCTTGCTTTCCTGGCTTGAATCTGACTTACAAGCATCGTCCGCAACTCTTCCAAAGTGCTGAAGTCATTGTTAGCCTTCGTTCTTCATCACAGCTCCTTCATATGTAGATGGCATAACCCAATGTTTAAGTTGGTTGAAGGAAGTTGATGAAAATTGTTGTTTTTATTAGTCCATCCACTTTGTGCAATGAATTTATAACACTAGGAGCAAACATGTTTTGGTTCTTCCCAGAGGTCACATTGGACAAAGATTTAGAATTTAACAACAACAACAACAAAAAATGCATGTTGTTCGGTCTGCCTTCTAACCGAGGAGAAGCCTTTTTTAAATCTGTTGTAACCTGGATTGGAGAAGGTTGTTCATATAGTTTCTCAGTTCCTGACTGAACTGGTGCAGCGCTCTGTAGGTCTGGGGCCCCAGTCATCCCTGAGTCGCCTCCATGTTCAGAACGCAGCAGCTTTCCTTTTGAACATTACACCTGAGTTTTTGTCTTCACTACATCAGCTTCCTGTCTGCTTTAAAATACATTTTGAACTTTTTGCGTTTGTACTCAAAGCCCTGCTCTCACTCATCTCGCCACTAGAGTGTGTTTCTCTACCAGGTCCTTGAGGTCAGACATTTAATATTTACTAATAATTCCAACGGACGGAGTACAAACATTTTTCGGTGGACTCATCTTGATTCTAGAGTCAGCTTCCACTAGATCTTCAGTTTATTACCAAACTTGGCCTTTTAAAATAAAAAATCTATTTTTTTTCATTCAGACACACTTTTAAAAAGACCTCTTGAATTTCAGAAACGGTAGATTTTCAAACCTGAAAAAATTTCATCTTTCACTGAGACATAATAGTAGTTCAGATTTTATCCCAATTTTAATCAGCTTTTTTTTGTTTCCTTTTACACCTTTATTTTATTAGCCACTTTGGTTACAGACATTGTGTAGGTGTAACTGATTGATCGACTGGTTAAGTCCTTCGAGAACCCTCCTAGTAATTACAGCCAAACAGCTGAGTCTTTGTCTCATCTCACCATGAAACTTTTCTCCAGAAAGTATGTGGCATGTCCATGTGGTTGACTCCAGATTGCAGTCAGTCTTTAAGGAGATGGTTTTGGAAAACTAGATGTTCATGTTGCAAGTCTTCCAAATTGTATTGTCATGAACTTCAATAATTACCACGCTGTTTGAGGAATGCAGTGTCTGTGATGGAGTTCCTGTTTTAATTCCCTTTGTTATCACTGACATTTGGTGATGGAAGAACCAATAGCTGTCTTGAATGTTTTCCATTTGCCAATATTTTTTGTCTTTCTGCAAAACAGAAATGACTTTACTACCATTTTCTGATTGATGAACATGTCATT